TTTAAGACATTCATATAATGGAAATTGATTGTAGCGAAAAAAGCAATTCTATAAATACAAAAGCATAAGAACTCTTTTGCTTTTAATTAAATTAAAAAAAAAAATATTTTAATAATTCGATGAATTTTTTGCCATCTAAGGCAAAAATATAAGCCGTTCGATCGCTTGTAAATTTTTACAATCCCAGATCTATTGGTAATTTTTTTTAATCATTGTTTTATTGACATATAACCAATGTTTTATTGACATTTATTTGTAACTTTATTGACATTTAGTGGTAAATTAGTTGACAATTTATAGCAAAAGAGTTACCCTGATATTTCAATAGACTTATCGTCTCAATTTCGGCCTACAATTTGAGATTTGTATGCATATTCATAGAAACTTTGATCTTTTGAAAATCTGATGAAGGTTCTGTGGAATTGATGATCACTCGATTATTTTAACCTGGTAGTAGATTAAAAAATTGTACTCCTAGACTAGTAATTCCCAACGTGGGGCGCACGCCCCACAGAAAAATCCATTTTTAAATTCAGAGGGGTGAGGCAAATTAAAAAATTACACGACTTTAGCCCACTTGCTTTGGGTGATTTGAATATAATTTGTAAATACTGTTAAAAATTTGTTAAACATATTATGATCATTGTTTAGTTTAAGTAAGCACAGGATGCATGTGCAAATCATATAATTTTTCCATATATATTTCCATAGCTTAGGTAAATAAGCATCCCTTTTTAGTTCTAATGCAAACTTTCTCAATATTACGGATTATAGAAAAATTCCAAATTCTGTATATATTAGTCTGTATATTTATAAATTGCCATACTTCCCAAACAGCGGTATAATAATTTTTATATTATATTTTTAAATTTAGAATTTTTAGAATTCAGTAAGTTGCGAGACTAAGAACACCTTAAGGGGGTATTCTACTGTAGAAGCATGAATTTTGGCCGGTTTTTGAAGCGCTGTATAAAGGAAACAAATAATATTTTTACTATCGATTTTTTATGATTTGTTTATTGATATTTTATTATTACATAAAAAAATTATTAAAAAAAATAGAATTCACAAAGTTATGAGCAGTCAAAGTGGGGGCTCAAAAAAAAAGAGGGCGTCCTGGGGTGCATGGTTCCAACCCTCCTGGTGATCCGAAACATAAAAAATAGATGGATTATTATAGATGCCGCTATCGTATGAATCTGGATTTTTTGTTTGAATGGCGACAGTTTGAAAAAAAAAATTTTTTTTCATGTTTTTTTTTAACAATTCCGAATTTTCTAAAAATACTAAATGAAAAATTATAGTTTTGGGAAAGGTCCATGCGATAAAGCGATGTATAAAGAAGATCCTCTCCAAATTTGAAGTAAATCGGTTCATTAGAACTCGAGATATCCTTACCGCCAGCTCGAAAAAAGTAGTTCCGAGAAAAACGCGTTCAAAGTTGTGAGACTCGGTCGGACCCAAACCGAGGCCACGTCACTTAAACGGATATAACTCAGGAAATAATAGTGATTTTGAAAAATACTTTTAATGACATATTTCTGAATAACTAAACTTTGAAAATATGAAAAAAAAATTTTTTCGATTTTTTCAAAATTCTACAGTAGAATACCCCCTTAAGAAATTCAGCTCGCACAAGTTACTCAAACATTTAATAAAATTTATAGTTCTATGTCTCTATTGTCGCATAGTGCACACAATCGTTTAAAAGTGCAGTAATTAATTTTTTATGAAGTGATAACGGCAAAGGCAGCAGTAAGGTGTAATCGACGCCTTAACGGATATTTTAGATATTTAATACCGAGATAAAATTTCTTATAGAAAAAATAATATTTATAAATTAAATCTTATATAAATTCGCATTTTTTATACGCTAACACCTACATCATAGGTTTCTATTCGTGTATTTCTATAGCCTTACGTATGCCTATACGTTGCATCTATACTACATGCCTTACATCTATACCATGCGCTATATTTCATCACATACTCTCAAATCCCTACATTGTATACCGAATACACCTAACCTATATCTACTATATATCCTATTACCTATATTTTTTTTACACGCTACATTAACCCTACCGAGAATCGAACCCGGGTCCGCCGCGTGGAACGCGACGACCCTAACCACTACACCACCGTAACGCTACAATCAACCGTCTTTTTTCGCGTGTCGTCGCGCCACCTCAGTATTAATTATCTAATTAATTAGAAAATGACCCGCGGAAACAACAGTGCGTCCCATATTATATTATTAATGGGGGTACCCGATAGGGTAGTGGCTAAGGTGCGCGAATTCCACGCGGAGGTCCCGGGTTCAATTCCCGGTATAGACAATAGATAATATATATAATAGGTAGAGATAATACATAGGGCGTAAGGTAAACCTATATAATATAGGTGAATATATAAATTAGACAGTAGTATTTATAAGAAGTAAAAGGTATGTAGGGTATATAATAAGTTAATGACGGTATAGGTATCTCACGTTATGATAGATAATAGATATCTATCTATGATATACAATAATATAATATAGTATGATAGGTAATAGGTTATCTATCATATTATTAGGATAAGTCTTATAAAGTATTGTAATAAATCTTGAGTACGTTTATATCATAATAAATACATGTAGGTACTAATGAATACAAATAATACCAGAATAAATATAATTAATGTCATTGAAGAATATAAATTATGTACTCAATGATTCCCTCATACTTGTACAATTTAATGTATAGACTAGCTGTATATAATAGAGTTAATTATATAATAAGTCAATATATTATATTTGTGAGTTCTTATCGAAATTTATCAAATTTTTTGAACCGGATTTTAAGTTTTAGCGTTCCGGCAAAAAAAATATTAGCACAACACCACTGGCTATAATATACATAAATTTGATTGATCTTTTTTTTTAAGATAAACTAATTTATACTAAGTATTTTGAAAACTTAACTGTCGTTTTGAAGGTGGTATCAATTGGAAAACGTATTGATAAGTAATCAGCGGTTAGATAGTTTTTTTTGTCAATAACTGTTCAATTATCTACATTTGTGAATAATTTAAAAATACTTTAATTATTAATAACATTCACTGGCTTGGCGTTAAAATTTGTCAACCCGTTTTTCTTAAATTTACAGCTTTAGATTCAATATGTTTGCTCATAACAAGTATGATTTAAAAAAAATACTGGGACAATGTCATTTGTTTAGACAGAAAATGGTGTTGATTAAATATTGGTGAAGCAACTTCTCCATAATTCATAAAAAAATATTAATAACTTAAGAATTTAAAAGAATATCTTAATTATCTCAATTTTCATTTGTGTTAAATTAACTAATATTGTACATATAATAATGTCCGAATAATTTCTTCGATTTTATTGATTAAATTGAAATTAAAAATAAGTTTCGAAATCATGAATCGATTTTAGCGATTCTATATATATTTATTCCTAATAAAAGTGATTATTATTAATAAATAGATATTATTAATAAATAGATATTATTAATAAATAGATCACGTTTTTGGGCTTGATCAACTACCAAAACAATGAGAAACCTTTAGTTATATTTTGGTTTGTTAATTTAAATATTTTCTCCTGGAATTAATTTTCAGTATATGTTATACTGAATCACGCTTTAAATTTTAGGATAAAATTTGTTTTATAACATATAATAATAATACATTATAATGAAGTTTCTAAATCTTGATTTTCAATATTAGCATTAAATGAAGTATTTTTAAAACTTAGTATTACATCTAGTAATACTTCATCTCATAAAAATATCGGTAAATTTAATTATGCCAATATTTTATTCCAATTTACCATACAGAGATCCTAGGATTGATTCTGGTGTAACGACACCTGCAGCAACTGTAGCTACTTCTATTAGAACAAATGCTTCAAGAATACCTAGAAGGTGTGTCACACCTGATCCATCACCTCATACTAAACCAAAACTTGTTGTGGATCTTAGGAAAAGCCATAGTCAGGTTAGCAGTAAATATAAATATGCCACAAAATTTAATTAATAAATTTAACTAATAAATAAATTGCTCAATTCGCTCGTTGATTTTCTGAAACTAGATAAGTCGTATACAAAATTATGTACTCATCAAATTGCCATTGGTTATATAAATAATCCTTATTCATCTTTTTAATATAATGTTTCATTTATAATTATTGTATCTTACCCAATTTTTTAAGAGCTTTCTCAAAAAATAAATAATATTTGCAGCCTTTTGCTCGTCTCAGCGATTTATTTATAAACTATTGCAATGATCAAGAATATTTTTAACTAAAAATTAGTATTTTTTTAATCGAGTTTTTTCTTTTGCAGGAATCTATATATTGGACGCCAATACCTAATGTATCAGAAGCAGATCATTCAGAAACCCTTGATAGTACAAAATCTTGTACGTCTAAATCGAAGCAAACAGCAGCAAAGACTTCACAAAAATCGATCGAAAATAAAGCACCGGTAAATTTATTCGATACCAACATATTTTAAAATTATTATTATTTTTTATTATTATATTAATAATCACAGTTTATCAGGTTACAAATACAATCTATAGGTTAAAAGTGAGTATTGAAAATCAAAACACAGGGAAGAAAAGTATTTTATAAAAGAAGCAAGTAAATGTGTAAATAATAATAATTATAATAATTTAAAATAAAAATAAAATTGATACAAAGTATAGATTGCTCAACTTCCAACTTCGATTTAAATTGATGGTTGTCAAATAAATTATTCAGTTCTACTTGGAACCTCGTCTTTACGAGCATTTCTCAAAAGCAAAAAGATGTTCTGTATAATAAATAAAATAAGTAAAATAAATATAATAAATTGAATATAAATTCAATTATATTATTACATAATCAAGTTTACAATTATTTTATCCTCTAGCCACCAGTAACACCGCCTCCAGCACCAGTTCCGATTCTAACGCACCAGGATACACTTACCCCTGTACAGGAAGAAGATATGGACATAGAAGTATATCGAAGACGTGGAAAGAAAAAGAAACGCATTACTACTGCCGTTTATCAAGAATCACAAGAACCTGAAACACAGGTTACATATAAATTTTAACGACAATCTATAAAAATACAAAACAAATATCAAAATAACTATTCTATTACCGTAGGTGGCTGCTATGGGTTCAGATTCGCGAATTCCAAGTAGCGGTGAAAACACTCCTCCTGCTCCAAAAAGCGGCGAGATTTCAGCACCTGGTTTATCCAGGTGCGAATCCTATGTAGGAGCATCGGCAGCCGGTGTCTATAATGATGTTTGGCCTTCTTGGTGTAATCTAGATGGAAGCCAATTATCCAGATTAGCCAGACAACTGGATAGAGAAACTGTCGAAGCTGAGTTTTGTGATTATGTAAGATAACTAAATATTATGAATTAATTAGTATTAGTAGTCTAGTTTAGTTAGTTTGCAATATCATTGAATTTCATTACAATTTTCATAATATTAACTTCCTATAAAAGAAAAAATTCATTGCTGAAAATCCATATGTATGCAAACCATTTAAAAGCAGTACGGAATAACTCAATAAGGATCCATGTTGAATAGTTTTATTTTTGAATTCCCCTATATCTCAATTCTTAATAACTATTGTCTAACTAATTAACTAATTAATTAACTGTCTTAACTAATTAATTATTACACATATCGCAAGTTTTTGCAAATTGCCAAAGAAAAATGTTTTTACACCTTATAATAAGTAATTACTTTGTGGCGATTTTCATTGCTATTTTTTTAATAGCTTAAAAATAAAAAGAAAGATTCTATTATATAAAATAAATCAATAAAATTGTATAAAAATATTGCGCCCAACGTGGGGCTCGAACCCACGACCCTGAGATTAAGAGTCTCATGCTCTACCGACTGAGCTAGCCGGGCTTGCGAGTGATTTGCTTTAAAGGTGTATATCAAGCAGCTTCAAGACATTGTGTTTTGTAATTTACATGTGTATCGTAATGATTATATGTACGGTACTTACTTGTTTTTATCATCGTGCCTTAAGGCAAATTACTGGAACTTCCCGTACCAAAAAATATTTTTTTTTAAAGATTATTTTTTTTTACACTTTGAAAAAATTAGATTTTTGAGAAATTTTAAATTTTTGAAAAAAATGTCGTATTTGGAAAAAAATGTCTTTTCTTATTTTGAAATATTTTTGAAATTTTGAACTTTTTAACTTCCCGTAGGGCAAGTTATAGTAATCGCAAAAAAATCGAAAATGAAAATTTTTATATATCTTTACGTTTCAGAGGTTTCTGAACATTTTGGCATACCTTAGAAATAATGGATGTATGTGTGTGTGTGTGTGTGTGTGTATGTATGTATGTATGTATGTATGTATGTATGTATGTATGTATGTACGTGTGTGTATGTATGTGCGGATACAAATTTTCGTCGACGATTTCGGGAACACGGATCAACCGATTTGAATAATTCAAAAAACATTCGATTTGTATTGATAAGGAGACGTGCTGATTAGTTTTTGGCGAAGGCAGGTCTAGCCGTTCCGAAGATACGGGGCAAAAAGTTCCGAAAACGGTAACTCAGTTTTTAAGAGAACGGAGCGTCCGATTTTAATAATTCAAAAAACATTTTACTTGTATTGACAAGATGAAGAATCGATAAAATTTTCATGAAGATAGGTCTAGCGGTTTCGGAGATATGGAGGAAAAAGTAAAAAAACGAGCCATTTGGCGGTCAAAAATGATCATTAGACATATGCACATCAAATTATCAGATATTTTATAGAGATTTTAACAATAAGTATACATTTTGTTAACATTCCTATGGGTTCCGTACCAATGCTTATGCGTTAGACAGCGACGCGGCGCTTACGCGCTTTATATTTTGTCCCTATGCAGTTAAAGCAGTACGATTGCTTTGAAAAATAGTTCAGATCTTCCACAATATGTCAAAATAAAGAAAATAAATTTTTTTTCAAAAAAAAAAAATTAAAAAAAAAAAAAATTAAAAAAAAAAGTAATTTTTTGTCCAATTTATAGTAAATTTTTTTCAAAAATGTTAATCGTTTTTAAAAAAATAATAATTTTTGGTACGGGAAGTTCCAGCAATTTGCCTTAAGGCACGATGCCTTAATTGCCTTAAGACAGAATTCCACTTACAGCTAGTTTTCAAAACAATCGCACTGCTTTAGCTGCATAGAGACGCAATGTCGAAGCGTGTAAGCGCCGCGTCGCCGTCTAACGGACTAACGATGTCACGGAACCCATAGAAATGTAAACAAAATTGATACACGTTAATAAAATCTCCATAAAATATCTGATAATTTGATGTGCATATGTCTAACAATCATTTTTAACCGCCAAATGTCATTTTTTTTAATTTTTATTTTATTGAGAGTCCATAACCGCTGGACCTGCCTTCCCAAAAATTTAATCAGTTCTTCATCTTGTCAATACAAGTGAAATGTTTTTTGAATTATTAAATCGGACGCTCCGTTTTCTTAAAAACTGATTTACCGTTTTTGGCTTGTATTACCCATAGATAAGGAAACGGGTATTGAAGAAGTTTGCGCCCCATGGTATTACCCGTAGATAAGAATATAGGTATTACCCGTATCTTCGAAGTGGCTAGACCTGACTGTGCCAAAAACTAATCAGCACGTCTCCTTATCAATAGGAATCGAATGTTTTTTGAATAATTGAAATCGGTTGAACCATGTCTCCGAAATCGTCGACGAAAATTTGTATACGCACACACATACATCCATTTTCTCTAAGGTTCAGATACCTCAGAAAGGTAAAAATATATAAAAAAAATCATTTTCGATTTATTTGCGATTGTTTTAACTTACGGGGTGTTAACAAATTGTCTTAGGGCAAGTGACATGAACTTCTCAATGTGTGTGAATAGTCAATTTAATCAATAAGAATTTAGATTTAACAAGTTTTTACCTTTACATACACCTTGTATGTCATAAGCGTGTGTTCGTTCATTCGTGCAATTGAATAACCGAGTGTTTACGAAAGCGTACACGTTAAGTGGGATATAACTTTACATTATTTTATAGTTTTTTTTTTTAATTATATAGTAATTTTCAATCCTATCCTGAAATGTACGAGTTAATTTTTTTGTTGCTTTCCCCAACATTAATCGTTTCGTCAATAAAGCAAAGGTTTTTAAATAATTCAAATCGGTTGACTGGTGCTCCCGAGAACGTCGACAAAAAATTGCATCCATGCATTCATACATACTATAAACACCCATACACACACAAGCGCGCGCACACACACGCACGCATTTTTTCCAAGGAATGCCAAAATGTTTGGAAAAATCTAAAAAATGAAGATATGTAAAAATTTTCACTTCCGATTTTCGGCCCATTACTATAAATTACCCTACGGAAAGCTAAAAATATATAGTATGTTTTGCAAATTTTGTATAATATCCTATTACTTAAATATGTACTACTATTATTAGCCTGCCTTCAGGCAAAATTTCCATTTACTATTTCTCAGTAATTATTAATAATATTTTACTTCATATATTATACTTTAATTACTTCAAGCGTCGCAACGCACTAGAAGAGACATTAAAGGCTGTACATTCTCTAAGAAAAGATTCTTCAGTTTTAAGATCAAAGGCTATTTTATGTACCCAACTGGAATTAGGAATGAATCAACGACCTCAAGAAGAATCAACAGGTTGGTTAACCCTGCCCCGAACATATTCGCGAGCAGTATCGAGATTTGAATTGCCAATGGACCGCAGATTACTAGGCAGTTGAGTAATAATAATAATTTAAAATATGTTATTATTAGTAATAATATTAAAATATGTTATTATTGCTCTAGAAATTTTAATAAATAGTTCTATTTTAGTTCTACTTTGTGCAGCATCTGCCCAAAGATAGTACAACATTGAATTTATTTTTTGCGAGAAATAATTTTAATTTATTTTAATTAAAATTACTTTATTATTTTGATTTCAGAGATGACACCAATGGAATATTTATCGAAATTTGTTGTAGTATGTGAAAGCCGACTGCAGATGTATAACAAAGTGTTTGTTTTATATAATAAACAAGAGCAAACTTTCGAAACAGCAGAGCAGAATGGTGTTATCATTAAACCAAGACTGATGCTAGGAAAAGTTAATAAAACATGGTGTTAAACCTTTTTGGATTTAAATTAAATAATTGTTTTATTTGTAATAATTGTATGTCCATTCTATTTATCATTATACAGTGGCAACCCAATAAATTTCCAATATGAAAATAAACTTAAGATCATTGCTATTATAAAGTTTAAAAAAATATTTTCAGCTTGCAATTTTAATATTTCTTCTTACTTCATTTTTAGGACATGCCAGAAGCAATAGCAGTCGCTTTAGGTTCTGTTTATGATGAAGAAAAATCAAGTTTTGTTAAAGAATTATTAGATTGGAAGTATGAAGATATAATTACGTTCAGATTATGGGCTGGTGTTTGCGCAGTATGTGAAAGAATTATTGGAATATTGGATAATGAAGATGTAGATCCAAGAGATGAGGTATAATATTTAAACCAAATTCCAGAAGTAAACATGAATGGCTAAAATGATTAGATAAAATGGCCTACCTACCTATAAAGAAATATTAATCCTGTACACGTATCAAGCTAAAGTCGCATCTTTTCTCAGAAATCAACATATCAATATGAGATTCGATTTTATTGATTTTTATCTCATACTTAGTTGTAAAAAATATTAATTTGTTTGCTTAATTATTTATTTATTGTAGATAGAACGAGCCGACTTCGAATCATTGCCCAGAATGTTAAATGGAATAAAACCTAATGCAAAATTAATGAAGTTGCTGTTTCTTATCAAAGATAATTAGGAATTGGTATCTTTATATAATATCTTGACTGCATTTAGTTCATATAATTATAAGTATGGAATAATCAAATGCTTACAAAAATTTGATGTTATTTTAAATATAATAAGAAATTGTTTATATTTTTTAAATCATTTATAGACTTTTACTATGCAAGGTTTATATTGAATTCATATATGAATTCATAAATGAATTATATATAATCATTGCCAGTAAAATAATTGCATTATCATATTAATGGGATAAAATTTAAATAAAAATAAGAGATATTTACAATAAGGCATCGTCTGCATTTGATATATGTAATTAATTCATTTACTTAAAATTTATCTTAATTAATTTATTATGATATGTATGATTGATATGTAATTTAATTTTTATTGCATTATTTTTTTAATTTATTTATTTTGGCTATAAAATTGATAGTTAAAAAAACCCCTTAAGATTTTATAGGTTTATAATAAGTGTTTCTATATTAAAAATAAAGTTTTAAGAAATATGATGCGTGCTCTACAGGTTTTTTTTGTCGATATTTTAGGCTGGCCCTGTGGTTAAGTCTATGCAACCATTATAATTCACAATGAAATAGTAATAACACTATAATACTATGAGTTTATTAATATCTCTAAAAATGTACAAAGTATTAATATAATATTTAATTTTTAATAGAGCAAATTTCTTGATTAAGTTTCTTCGATCAAGGCGGAAGCAGAAGAGAGAGATTTTAATATTTTACTCATAGATAAAAGAAGAGTATTATATTGATTGAAGAATATGATTTTATTATTATATTATCTAGGGATTTTATCTTGTGCAAATTTCATCCCTTAGCGCAAGGGTTGCAAGATTCGACATTCTAGTGGAACTGCAGGTTTGCAACCGTTATTTGCGAACTTCACTTGCGTTGTTGTGTGTTGTGTCATTTATATTGGCGTCGTTCAACTGTCAGCTGTCATGGCGTGAAGTTCTCTATATAATCTATGCTCATTTATCTATTCCACTCTTTGCGCTTGTTTTTGTATGTCTATGGTTTAAAGAGGCATTTTTTCCGAAACTAACCTGAAAAGTTTGAAACATGTCAAATATAAAGAAAACAAAACAGATAATGTTTTTATTTAACTGAATATATTATTATTGGATAGTTAAAAGTAGTAAATAAAATTTCAAAATGGAAGAAGTATATGACAAAGGCTGGGGAAATGAAAATAGAATGGACGAAGATCAGGTATTGTAAAAATATCATTAGGTAATTTATGAATATGTTACAAGAATAATATTGTATTCTAGATGGATTCGACTGAGGAGCCGCTCGAAAATCCTATTGAGGTTTTGAAAGAATGTGTAGAAAAATTCACTACATCAGATTACATTATGGAACCTGGCATATTTGCACAACTAAAAAGGTACCAATTAGAGATGAATGAATAATGAAAAGGAAATATTATTTTCATCAAACCTTTCTTTCTTTTATTGTTATTTAGATATTTTCAAGCAGGCGGGAATCCTGAACAAGTTATTCAACAGCTTTCACAAAATTACATTGCTGTAGGTCAAACTGCAAATCTTTTGGCCGAGTGGCTAATTTTAGGAGGTTTGAAGCTTATATACCATTAACATCTTAGTTATTTTTTCTATTCATGAATAATCTAATAAAATATAATAACTTCAGGTGTAAAAGTAACAGATGTACAAGGCATGGTTGAAAATCATTTGAAGGATATGATATTGAAAACATTTGATCCCAAGAGAGCTGATACTATATTTACAGAGGAGGGAGAGGTATGTCTTTTATTTATATATGTTAACATGTCTTTATTAATTTAGTACCCTATTATTTTCAGACACCTGCCTGGTTAACAGAAATGATAGAACATCCTGTATGGCGTTCTTTAATTTATCGTTTAGCAGAAGAATATCCTGATTGTTTGATGCTTAATTTTACAATCAAAGCAAGTTTCACTTATAATAATAAAATTTATATATCTTAGCCAAAACAATTATAATAATTTTTTCTTCTGTAGCTTATTTCTGATGCTGGATTTCAAGGTGAAATAACCAGTATTAGCACTGCCGCACAACAAATAGAAGTATTCTCACGGGTATTGAAAACAGCAATATCAGGTTTCCTTACAAATACTGAAGATTGGCAAAATAGTGTTGAGGAGTGTGCTGTGAGTTCTTTATTTTATATAGATGACTTTAGTTTTTATTAAGAGTTAATTAAGTGTAAAAATTATAGAAAATGGTTTGTCATGGACAACATACTTATGTATACAGTCAAGTTTTAATACATGTGTTAGCAAGGGAACAAAAAGGAGGAGCCTGTATGAAGAGACTATCCCAGGAGATCACTAAAAGGGCTCAACAAAAGTATGTATACTTTTTATTTTAAATAGATTATTTAATCATATGTTAAGTTGATGATCTGGTAAAATTATTGGTTAAATTTAATCATCAAATTCAAGATTGTTTATACATATATTATATTACAAATGGTGACAAGTGATTTTTCTAGAAACATGCCTCTTTGTTTCGTTTGCATGAATTTGAATTGCACTTGGAGTAAGTTGTTATATTTAGATATTTCACCAAATTAAATATTTTGTTTTCAGTCGCCATGATGTAACACCAATATCAATGGCTCTCAATGGTGCAGCTAGCCATCCACATGCGTGTCAAGCGCTCTCATCCATGCTTTCTCGAAATGCATTAAATCCTGCTGATATATCAGTATTGTATAGAAATTACTCATCACATGAACCACCACCAATTGACTTGATACGAAATCCTCAATTTTTAGGTAAGCTTATTGACACTTAATTACATATTTTCAAATATACTTATTTACTCATACCATCATATTTGTCTGACCGAGATACAGTATATATAAATTATGTCAAATAAAATAAATAAATTGCTGTTTCAATAAAAATAATTAAAAAAAGCAATATGAATAAATTGGAATAAATCCTATGTAATTAATCAATCTTAATATAATTCTATTATAATTTGTGAAAAAAAATCACACATTGATATCAATTGTCAATGTACTTTGTGTAAGATTTATTTTAAAATTCAATTTGCATAAAAATGTATTTATTTTATCTTATAACAAAAATATGCAGGATTCTCATTAGATAAAATGTGAATTATTAATGTAATAATTTGTAAGGAAGCTAATTCAATTATATTTTTGGTTTACAGAATTATTAGTAGATTCATTATTTAAATCAGGAGTAAAATTAAATCCAGAGCACAAATCTAAGTATATATATTTACTTGCGTATGCTGCAAGTGTAGTTGAAAACCCTCGTACTAAATCTGTTAACCGTGATGATTTAAAGCCAACATCACAAGCGATTGAAAAGGTTCACGCTATTTGTAATGTCAGTAAAGGATCAACAGAATTAGTCGCTGATCTGGGAACATTGTACCAATGTATTTGGTAAGTATGAAATAAATGATTAATAGAATTTTGTGTTAAATTTTGTTTAGTTTAATCTAATTATATTTTTTATTCATTCCCATGTCAGCTGTTTCAGTTTATTAACTTTTCAACATTAGTGCTGAAATTTTATTTTGTAGTGGGTATTTTGTGTATAATATTTTTGTAAATTAAGTCAGAGTGTTCAAAAAGTTTTAGTAATTTGAATAATATTATAAGTATCAGTGATATGAATTTATCTGAAACATTTTAAAATTTTATTATAGAATTTTAGAACAACAATGTAAACATTATTACTGTCATTTCCTACAAATTGTTACAACTCTCAATTTTATTCATATTTAACACATTAAGATTTAAAAATATGTATTTAATATATTTTGTATTTTTTATTGCAGTTTTCCAGTTGTTTCAGTTGGTATAGTTAGATGGGTAGAATGCACTGTTACAGAACCCAGTTATTTCAAATTAAGTACGGAACACTGTCCTTTGCATTTAGCACTTCTCGACGAGGTTGTAAATTGTCATCCTTTACTTCACCCAATAGTATTGAATTTACTGATTAGACTTTTTGAATCGAAACAAGATGAATTGGAAATTTTAGTCCAGGTATGATTTACATTTGTTCATTAAATTTTTTTTACATAAAAATGTGAGCCATTTTTTTTTTAATTTAATGATTAAACATTTAATTTAATTTTTTTAATTTTTATAAATAAATTTTCAAATACAGTGAATTTTATGTTGTTTGCAAAAAATTTGTTTCATTAAGTACAATGAATTAATGATTAGTTTAAACAATGCATTCTATTGTAAGAGATTTCAAAACCTTAAAACTCTATGATTTTACATCAACTCTATGATTTTACTTTTTATTTACATTATTTAGCACAATTTAACTTTCAGTAAAATCAGTCTAGTATAATGTTTTTATCAAGTTTTGTCTAAATATTAATAATCAATAAAGGTTATGTCCTTTATTTTATTATTAGTACTAACAGTATATTTTGTCATTCAATATTTTTCATCAAAACCCATTTTTAGCTGGAAATGCGTAAAATGTTATTAGATCGTATGGTTAATCTCTTATCCCGAGGCTGTGTAGTTTCTGTGGTGAAATATGTAAAACAGTGTTGGCAGAAAGGTGATACAGATATATCTTTGATAAGATATTTTGTTATGGAGGTAAGTCAGTGATAAATAAATTTATGTAAATTATTATTTTTGCTTTTGTTAAGCACTTTTTTGTTTCAATTGTTAAGGTTGTTCTACTCAAATTATAATCTTATCCTTATTCACTCTGCATATTTGCAACTAAAAGAGAATGTTTTCAGAAAAGCTATAAAAAATATAAATAAAAAATACAATGTTACATTTCAATATCAGTAATCAATGTACTTATTATTTACTTAAAGAAATAGTAAATTACATGTTATGTGTAATACTTTCAATAAAATATTAATCAAACCCCAATTAACAATAGCAAAAAAATTACATTCATTAAGATTTTAAAAAGATTTCATTAGTTAATAGATTTTTTTTTGTAACACAAGATTACAATGTTATATGTACAGAAAGAGTGAGTTTCCATGAATTTAAATACATATATCTTAGTTATCTAAGAATTTATTTAGTTTGTAAGATCGGTTAACAATTTATGAAGCACTAAGGGAGTCTGTCGTAAAATTGTTCACATGGCAATATAAGTTTTTTTCGGATTCTTCTGTAGAACCACCGATTCCTGGACCACTAATTTAAAACTTGTTCCTTCATTTCTAATAAATTCTAACAATTTATCAAGCAGAGTAATTTTAACACAAACAATATGAAAGTTTTATAATTATTATTATTATTAGAAACATCACCGTTTTAATCACAAAATAATCTTTAACTAGGTTCTAGAAACAATAGCTCCACCTTATACTCCAGAATTTGTACAATTATTTTTACCAATGGTTGAATGTGATGATATTACGGGATCTATGAGGGGAGATGGTGAAAATGATCCAGTATCAGAATTCATAGGTAAAATTATCAAGAATTATTTATTACCATTATATTGTACAAGTAACTATATTGATGACAATATTATTTGTTACAGTTCATTGCAAAGCAAAATTTATGGTTGTGTGATAGATATAAATTAATACGAAAAATAGTCATATTTTTCAAATATTGAAATCGATACCATTTGTTGGTATGTTTATATGAACTGCTGTTGGAAGATCTATGATGAGTCCTTTTTAAATATGAATATAATATTTAGCATCTGATGTATAAAACATGTAAAATATAATATTTTAATATATCATATTTTAAGCAATTTTATATTTTTCAATTTACTTTTTTTATATTATTTTATATCTTTCAATATTATTTTTTTGGTCGACCAGGCGATTGCGCAGCATTTTCAAATGACGTCTGGTTAATGTTGTGGCAGGTTATAGTATTCAGATTTTTGCACATAATTTGTTAAAGAAGCATGGCCTTGCACTTGGAAGATATGTCTCATCTTATGCATCTTATGCAAGCAAAGCAAATTTGAGCAAAGGTATTTTACTAAATTGAAAATCAACCCATATTTTGCAGTGTGGACTAAAGTAAAAGTGTCAACGAAAGGCCAAATATTGTCAGGTAATAACAATTTTTTTTATAAATATTTCAATAGTTTTTGTTCTATCATTTATGTATGTAAATATATATATATATATATATATATATATATATATATATTAATTTAGTAATATGAACAAAAGCACTCTATTTTGCACTAATTTATAAAATAATATTGATTTTGCAAACGTTTCGAGACTAGGTTTGTCTCATCATCAGTGTATTAATATAATATCAATGTATTAATATAATACACTGATGATGGGACAAACCTGGTCTCGAAACGTTTGTAAAATCAATATTATTTAATTAATTAGTGCAAAAAGTGTTTGTTGTTCATATTTATAAATAAATATCTAATCGTCGTCCCTATTTTGAACCTTTGGTAACACGATAGGGACTCTCGTTGATTATTTTGCGGCACGATCGGATGAGCCCTTTTTCTAGAATGTGCAGAAATGTAAATCTTTCGTCCACCCAAAAAATCCTCAGCCAATATTAAAATTTAAAATCAGTTCGATGGACATCACTTAGAATTGTGCTTACTGCTGATATTATAGTTTGTAGTAAAGATCGGAACGTCGTACTTTTTAATTAATTGTTGATATTTTTTGGTGATTTTGATAAAAAGAAAATTATGATGATATTATTAGTTCATGATTTTATTGAACATACAAAAATATTACGGATTTGTGGTTTAATTTTTAATCAAAGCTTGGAATTGTGTTCCGTGCAGTTACGTTTCAAAAACTTGAAAGTTTTATCGTCACAATTTTAAAAGTTGCTAAATCACAATTTGTACCGATTATTTAGACATATCTCAAAATTCAGAATGCAATTTACTCCTGGTTAATCTATTTTTCAGTTTTGTTTCTTTATTAAGACCGGCTAAAACCGTAAATGGTCAACAACATGTAATGGATTAATATTTTGCGATATCTACTAGTATCGGGAAGCATTTTTTTTTTTTTTACTAATAAACATAAATATAAACATGTTTTGCTTTCTTCCGTAATTGGCACAAAGTTATCTTTGATTTGTACTTCTATGAACCAATTAATTATTTGTTAATCAAGAACAAAATTCAAAACTGGTTATGAAAAGATATCACCAACTTATTTCAAGCTTCTAGTAATAAAATTTTTATGTACTTATTCTGCTTGCTGTCATTTAACATTAATAAACCATAATGAAGAAGTTACTATTAATATAAATTCAAATAAATTCTATTTAGCTTCATAGTACTCGAAACTTCAAGGAACTTTGATCAAATACAAAATAGCATTTTTAAGACTACTGAACAAGATGACCGTGTACCATCTAATAATCATATGAATTTTTTCTTAGAGTTTTTTTATTACAATATATTTGTTAGTAAAATTGCTTAAGTCAGTGAAATCTTTTCACTATTTATTATTATTATTATTTTTATAAAACGGTTTTCGAATTTTGAATATTAGTCAGTCGAAATCTATCCTATGGTAGAAAATTATAAAATTATTGATAAAATACCAGTTGCAACATTTGATGAGTTATATGTACAAATTGCTCAAAAAATCTGTAATTAACAAACGAATATCTAATTTTTCAAAAGTCTTTTATATATTTATAGATTTCTAATATTTCTGAAAAAGTCGCAGTATAGATGGTCCGCGAATCTTTAGAAAAATGTTCGTTATTTTCGATTATTTGGAATATTTTGCTTATTTATATTTAGATATTTTTTGCTTATTTTTTTATAGGTTTATTTATGACACTTGGTTTTATTTTGATTAGAACCATGTTATACTAACTATAGTATTTGATTAGTTGCTTTATGTTTAGATCATAATTGTTTCTTTACTCAATATTAACTGGTTGTAGTACTTTTCCACTAAATGAAGGTGAGGACTTTATTATTTATATTATATATTATTATTTATATATGGACATTATGTCCATATAATATTTGGATGTATAGTATATGTATATAAACATCGTAATAACAACTTTATAGAATGACGTATTAATGACGAAACATGCATCAACGGTATCATGTTTATGCATATGTAGGTATATGTTTGTGTATATATTGTGTTAAAAAAAGTCGTAGTTTTAATAAATATTTGCTGAAATTCGTTATTGAATAGAAAGTAGGCCAAATTACTGTATACCGAAAGATATCAATTCGACTAAAAGTATCGAAAGCAATACACATGTTTCCATGAAAATGTTAATTTAGCATTGTTGACCCTATGATCTTTTCGATAAATGTTTTGAACATGTCATCTAGTTTGAGAATTTTGCGATTTTGTTGATCAACAAAATCAGAGTTATATTCTATTACTGTTTCTAGAATTATGACACAAAGTATTTGTTTACAAAAAAGTATTGCAGTCGCGTGAAATTATACTTAATTTTTTCAAAAAATAAAATTTATTTATTTTATATATTTTTCATGTTGGTCGGTTGTCCTTTGCCAACATGCGCCAGGCCATGGCTCTGCAACATCACTTCCCAGCTAAACATCAATAACTTCCTACAACCTACAAGTCATTAATGATTATCATGGCAGAATACAATTTCTATTCCAAGTACCAATTCTAGTGCGATTTTTTTATTTCTTACAATACACATCTGAATTCATCGTATTCAGTTTCTGGAAAACAGCTTGAAATGCCCATCACCTTTTTAACAATCTTTTTTGTGATGCGATGCAGTTGATGTTTTGTGTTAGTTGAACATTATTAATAAGAGAAAATTTGATATTGGTTTCAAATAAGAGTCCGTTCGCGTTCTTAACATCTTTAAGACATTTTCAGTTGTCTATAAATTCACGAATAGTTATGTGACGATCCTTTTCAAGGGATCAATTTCAAGTGAAATATGGCTTTTATATGGTTAACATTAACTTCAGTTGGTCAAAGAATGAAGGTCATACTTTTGTTTGCTCTTTTTTTTCTTTTGAACATATTCTATAAGCTGTTTTGATGTGAGTGAGATGGGTTGTTCGAGCTTGTTGTTTATTAGAAAGCAATTCCGTAGTATATTTTTTAACCCAATATTGATGAGATATGCAGCAAATTTTTGATGATATATTTTCAATTTTGAACTAAACTTATTTCAGATCAATATTTTGAAGTGAAAACCGATATTACTACTTGTTCGTACTAAACTATTTGATGAGGGTATTGATGGAATCAAACTTGGAACTGGAAGATGTAAAAAACTCTGAAAATTTTTATTGCACTTGATGATAAAATTCTTTTTATACTAACGGTTACCGACGGAATTACAACTTTTTGCGAACTCTTATCTAAATGCCACAATTATTGAAGGTGGTTAAAGACTTGCACTTCAAATGTATTTTGAAAATATAAGATTTGTTAAGTATGAAAACATTTTCCACGTTTAAACAAATTACAAAGAAATATAATAAGTAAAAAATCACACAAAAGTAAGAATAAAATATAAATACATCATAACTTCACGCATTAAAATTATCTTTGCGATTTAATTATTAACCCTTAATTTGACAACCACTTTAAACCGGTTTGAAACTGGTTTTGTCAAAGGTAATAAATTCAAAATCCAATTGACTTGCACGAAGTCAAAAATGAAAAAGAAAAAAGGTCGCGTTTCCTCGAATCTCTCGGTTTCGAGCAGGAGGTCCTACGAGTCCACGCTTACCTGTTATCGAGTTAGTACCATTATAAGGGTCGTGCGCAAAATAAATAGGAATATAAAATTATTGTGATTGTCAAAATGCAGATGTAAAGAAAAAATGATCATTTTTTTATAAAAAGACGGAATTTAAATTATTACAATAAAAAAATGTATCGTGTGATATAATCGTAGGATATATTCTTGTATTTTTTATACAATAGAAAAACTAGTGGCGCATGCCATCCTGCCTTTAGGCAAGTTGCTGGAACTTCCCGTACCAAAAAATAAATTAGCAAAACTTTGAAAAAATTAGATTTTTGAGAAATTTTAAAATTTTTGAAAAGTTTGATTTTTTATATATTTTGTTTTTTTTCGTATTTTGATTTTTTTTAAATTGTAAGCAATCGCGCTGCGTAGCTGATTTGTAGTCGAAATATCAAAGCGCGTAAGCGCCGCGTATTTGTCTAACGTGTAAACATTGGTACGGAACTCATATAAATGTACACAAAATTTGCATATTGATATACATATATCTAATATTCATTTTTGACGAAATAGCATTATTTTTTACTTTGTTTTGGATCTCAATACACGCTGGACCTGCCTTTTTAAAAATTTTGCCAGTTGTTCATTTCTTCAATACGTTCTTTCAATAAGTTTTTTGAATTATTTAAATCGGACGCTCTGTTATCTCTAAAACTGTAGTACCATTTTTGGCACGGTTTGTCTCCGAAACGGCTGGACTTGCCTTTGCCAAAAACTAATCAGCACGTCTCCTTATGAGTAGGAATCGAATGTTTCTTTCATTATTCAAATCAGTTGATCCGCGTTCGAAAAATCGTCGAAGAAAATTTGTATCCGCGCACATACACACACATACATGCATTTTTTCTAAGGTATGCCAAAATATTCAGAAATCTCTGAAACGTAAAAATTTATAAAAATCTTCATTTTCGATTTTTTTAGATTACTATAACTTACCATACGGGAAGTTAAAAATTCTATTCAAAATAATTTTTCATTTATTTTTAACTGCAAATATGATACGACTAGTGCTTATATCAAGTTACGTGTATACTTTCATATTCTAGAATATTATTATTCCAGAAATATCTACGCCTTTATCTGTACATCTTCTAATTTAAATAATCAGTTAAATAGTATGAATAAAAATGTTTTTGCACAAATTTTGTACAAATTCATTTTCTATCTACTACTATATACTCGCAATTGGCGGCGGTTTGAAATTGTGCATCTATAAGCAGTATTTATATAAAAACAATTTGATTTCGAGATATGTTTTATATTTTATAATTAGTTACATCAGTTAAACAATCTAAATAGTTTATAATTTTTTTATAATTACAATCCGTCCATATTACAAAGGTATTTAGTTTTTGTTTGTTCTATTGATGATTTTTATGAGTATAGTTTAAGGTAATTGAAATAGCACGCCTAGAGAGCCTAGTCATTTTTTTTTGCATTTTTATCTGCAGTTTCAATCAATTGGTACATTTGATTTTTATTATTTCCAGAGTTGGACAATCAAGCTCAATATTAATCGAAGAACATTTTTGCGATATGTATTTGTCAGAATCAAACTCCAAGTTAGGACATAATTTTTTTTGCTTTTTATATATTTGTACCAGGTAGTTCTGAGAATATCTAAATTGGATGCCAATTCATTAAGTGGGCGTCAGGGTATGATTATATCCTATTTTACTATTACGTATAGAACATAAAATTATATTAATTTACGATGGTAAGATGTATTAATATTATTTTTTTTTAGTATTAATTTTTGGTTTGATTTTTTTGTATTCAATTGGTAATGAAAAGTGATATTTTAATATACGGATTGTAGAATAATGTAGATGGCTAAATGCTCGAGTAAGCGAGGCTAATAAAATTTAAAAAAAATATACGGATTGCGACACTATTATACAACATCAAGAAAAAAAAATCGTGATTTTTTTTCAAGTCTTTTGATATAAAATACTCAGCACTCATTGATAATGCTGTATCATCATACAAAATGTATATAATATTTATTATAAATCAATTAATATAAAAACGCTAATTGTTTGTTGACTTGCATTTATTTCACACAGAGAAATGTGTGATCAAGTCAATGTTATTCAATGTTAATTAGGTGATTTTATAAATTCGACTAAACTTATTTCATTATCATTATAATTTAAATTACGAAATTACTTTCCACTGCAATAAAACTTAAATATCTTAAATTTAAAATTTTTGCTTTAAATAATTATCCTATATATCATTTATATTTATTACAAACGTTATCTTAATGGCAAACATGAATTAGCATTTTATCTTAAAATGTATAAAAGTGCTGATGGAAAATTATACCTTGTTTTAATCGTATTGTTATAATTGCTCGGATTATTATTTAAAATAAAAATGTTCCAAATGATCTCGGTGATATCGGTTTTGGGTCATGGCTTTTTTGTATTCATGTATCGCGAAACTTTTAGCATCATTGTCAAAATATTAACTTTTGAACTATTTAGTCTGGGATACCATTGGTTATTAGACAGTCAACCTCTAATCTGGCGTGACGTAAAAATACTGTACACAATTCTAACGGGTCGCCGTCTCGTGTGAAATAAAACAGTGGTGCATGGCATCATGTCTTAAGGCAAATTGCTGGAACTTCCCGTACTAAAAATTAAAATTTTTGAAAAAGATTCAAATTTTATTAGAACTTTAAACAAGAATCTTTTAGAAGAATTTCAAAATTTCAAATTAAAAAAAAATTGATCCTTTGGAAATTTATTATTTATTATAAAATAATTAAAATTTTAATTAAAATCATTCAAATCAGATGCTCCGTTCTCTCATTATCATTTTTGGCTCTTTTTGCCCCGTATCTTTGGAACGGCTGGATATCAATAGGAATCGAATGTTTTTTGAATCAATCAAATTAGTTGATCCGTGTTCTCGAAATCGTCGACGAAAATTTGTAAAATTTTTATTTTCAAAATTGTATACGCACATACATTTAAGCGGATTAGCATCTTTTCTTTCAATTCTAATGTTGTGAATAACAATTTCTGGGTCTACTAACTATGTCAAGTAGAATGAAGAGTACCTATACGGATCATACTTGAATTTTCACATTATGGTAAGATTAGTGATAAGTTAGGTTTTCTTTCCTCGATTTAATGGTTATCTTATTTTTATTCATAAATTTGTTTTTTTTAATTTTAATCTATTTAATTAATTAACTTCCCGTAGGGTCGAAAATTGAAAATGAAAATTTCTGCATTTCTCTACGTTTTGAAGGTTTCTGAACATTTTGGCATACCTCAGAAAAAATTGATGTGTGTGTGTGTTTTGTGTGTCCGCAATTCTAGGGCTCACGGGTCAACCGATTTGAATGGTTCAAAAAACATTCGATTCATATTAATAGAGAGATGTGCTGATTAGTTTTTGGCAAAGGCAGGTCCAGCCGTTACAGAGATAAGAAACAAAGATTGCAGAAAATACAAATCGAGTTTTTGAGAGAACGGAGCATCCGATTTGAATGGTCCAAAAAGCATTCAATTTGTAATGACGGGGAGAAGTGGTGATTAGTTTTTGGCAAAAGCAGGTCCAGCCGTTTCGCAGATACCGAGCTAAATGTACAAACTAAGAACTAAGCATCTAATTTGAATGATTCAAAAAACTTTCTGCTTGTTTTGACAAAATAATTGCTTTTTTGCATATCGAAAATAATTCAGGTTTTAATTTTAATCCTGGCTAAAGTTCTAAAGCTCACTTACATACTTTAAATAAATAATTTTAACTTTGTAATTCAGTTTATACTCTTATAAATGTTAGACAATGTTACAGTATTTATAATAATTTATATAAAAATATTTAATATTCCTGAAAAATTTTGTCACGGTACGGGAAGTTTCAGCAATTTGCCATAAGGCACGATACCATACACAACTAGTTTAATTTTAATGTACTTAATTATTTTTATTTGAAAGTGTTCCAGTTGAAACCAACAATAAAAATAAAGTTTGAAAATGTTAAATCAATAATGTTTAATTCACCTATTATAATTAGATAAACTAATAATTAATTTATATAAATAATCTTGAAATTGCAGGTGAACTAACAGTGAAAATAAAAAATTTAGAATGTTGCATTAAAAATTTATAACTCACTTATTGGAATTGGATGAATGAATTAATTAATCGAACTAATCTTGAAATTGCAGATGAACTAACAATGAAAATAAAAATGTTAGAGCATTAAATTAAAAATATATCTCAATAATAGGAATTGAATGAACTAACAATGTTAACTAATAATAAAAATAAAAATTTGTGAATATTGAGCTAATATATAACTCACTTATTGCAATTGATTTATAGAAATAATCTTGAAATTGCAGATTAACTAAAAATGAAAATTTTTACAATTGGATAAACAACAAAAATAAAAAATTTAGAAAGTTAAAATAAAAATAAATCTCAATAATTGGAAATGAATAAACTAACAATGTTAACTAATAATAAAAATAAAAACAAGAATTTATGAATATTGTGTTAAATATATATAACTCACTTATTGCATTTGAATGAAAACTAATTAATTAATATAAATATTAATTAATCAATAAACATTAATAAAATAGTAAAAATAAAAATTTCAGAATGTTAAAATAAAAATATAAAATTAACTTATTAAAGTTGAATGAGCTAATTAATTAATATAATTTATCTAAAAATTACTAATAACTAATAAATTAACAAGAATAATCTTGAAAATGTAGGTGAACTAACATTAAAAATAAATTTAGAATGGTAAATTAATTATTTATAAATCACTTATTAGAATTGAATAAACTATAATTAATAATATAATAAAATAATAATTAATAATAAAACTAATAATTTTCCATTTTCAGATCTTCAAGTGCCCGTTATTAACGAATCTGATGTTCGCCCTACCAGTCAGCTGCTGGCAATGTGACTCGCACGTTCCTCGTTTCGAGTTCATTTCTCTATTGGATGTGCCTGGATACAGTCGCTTAAATTTGAGTGCGTAATTTTATTGTAACATGAAATTATAATAATAAATTTTAAATTAAAACCTTTTTCGTTTAAAATGAAGTGCTTTAATTTTTTTCATCAATTACCTTTTTAACGTGTTTTTAAGATTTAAATTTGTTTTTTGTTTAGGTGGATACTCATTCCTACAATGAGTGAGCCGTGAGTTGTCTCATTTAGTTATTTGTGGTTTTATGCCGGGTCACATAATTCTGCAAGAATCCCACTAATACAGGTATTTAATTTTAATTATTATTTTTATCCAAAATAATATTAAGATTTTGAGATCCTTATATAAAATGCCCACATCGCAGACACTGCCTCTCGATGGTTCCTCTTGCGTAAAGTAGTAAAAAAAACTTTCCTAATGAATTTTTTTCAAAAGTAGTCATTTATTTTAGAATTAACACAAATTGCAAATTTTATAAACGCCTTTAACACATTTATTTTGCTTTTGGAATTTGATTGTTATATTTTAATTTTTTGCAAAGGTAATTACCTTAATAGTTATAGTTATTAGTATCTTATTCTACTTCCTCCGATTTTAACACTTTTATATATATATATATATATATATATATATATATATATTTTGTTTTTTTTTAATAATTAGAATTTATATCTGTAATATGATCATTATCTTTATGTATCATGTTCAACACCCACATATTACTCTCCACTTATAATTTAAATACTGAAAAAATGAGTAATAAAAAATCCATAACTAAAAAACATTAGCTTTTTTTTTATAAATTTATAATAGTGAGAAATTAGACTTACTGGAAACTGAATTTAAAAAAGAAAAACTGACCGGATATATAATATGATTATTGATTCCAATAAGATAATAATATTTAATAACATTGAGTAATTTGAAAAAAAACTCCATGAAACCAAAAAACATTTTTGTTTTTTTTTTTAAGAATCTAGAATTGTGGAAAATTAGACTTGAAGCTAAATAAAAATCTTGCCGGTTATATAATATGATTATTAATTACAATAAGATAATAAAAAATAAATATTAATAACACAATTTTTAATAAAAGTATAATAAATAGATATAATAATAACAGAATAATATTTAATATGAGCTTCTTTTTAAGAGGTGAATAAAATAAAAAATTGCACATAAAATATCTAGAAATGCATAACCATTATATAAGCACTTAAAAATATTTATAAAATTCATTTTAAAGGCTAATAAGATTCTTTCTAATTACAACATTTGTGCATATTCTTCAAGCTTCAAACCATTAATGAAAATATAATATATAAAAATTATTATAAATTATTAATAAAATTTTCTATATCGATTATTATAACTAGATATTAAACTTACAACTATTAGAACTAAATATTAAACAATACATTTATATTAAATTTTTAAATTTGTGCATAAAAGGCACATACAGCTCTAAATTTTCACTTTTCCACCACAAACTCCTATTTCGAAATAGTCATTTTGGTGATTAAATAATTTTTTATCCCTATTTCAGTCATTAAATGTTTCTCATCAAATTTCCATTAAGATTTTCTTGAGCTTATATTAATGCCCCAATTGAACTACAAAAAACAAATGATTTATATCAAGGGTTGTCCAACTCTAATACTTTTTAACTTCCCATAGGGCAAGTTATAGCAATCGCAAAAAAATCGAAAATGAAATTTTTTATATATCTTTACGTTTGAAAGAGTTCTGAACATTTTGGCATACCTTAGAAAAAATGGATGTATGTGTGTGTGTGTGCGGATACAAATTTTTGTCGACCATTTCGGGAACACGGATCAACCGATTTGAATAATTCAAAAAACATTCGATTCGTATTGATAAGGAGACGTTCTGATTAGTTTTTGGCAAAGGCAGGTCCAACCGTTCTGAAAATATGGGGCAAAAAGTGCCAAAAACGGTAACTCAGTTTTTAAGAGAACGGAGCGTCCGATTTTAATCATTCAAAAAACATTTTACTTGTATTGACAAGATGAAGAACTGATTAAATTTTTGGGAAGGCAGGTTCAGCGGTTATGGTCTACCAATAAAAATAAGTTAAAAAAAATATCATTTGGATCATCAAATTATCAGATATTTTATAGAGATTATCATAATGTGTAATTATTTTTGGGTTCTGTACCTAGATTTATAATTACGGTACGAGAAGTTCCAGCAATTTGCCTTAAGGCACGATGCCATGCAACCCACTAGTTTATCAACTAACTAAGCAGATATTGAAAATGTTAAAGTCCAATGGGGAATTGCAATCAGTCTTACATAAATTAGCATACAAAATATTATATTATTATAGAATATTTGTTTAAAGTGTAGAGTACCTGCAATGTCTATTCTCCAGCGACTAGTAATACATTTTACCATTTATCATAGAAAATATTACATTATCAATATTACGTCATGTTTATTTACTTATTTAATAAATGTACTTCTATAGCAAATATACTTCAAATTAGTTGTTGCGATAAATTACGTATATCATATATCGTGTGACTAACGACAAATTATTCTCATTGATAATAAATCATGTTCTTGGTAACTCCATTTATCTCGTCAAAGCAAATAATTTTCTGATTGTACACCAAATTCTAGACATTGGACTGATAATACAATTTATGGTTTTTTTGGCACTTCCTCGTTTGGTAACTAGGCTATGATTAGATTTTATCAATTATGATAATTTTTATCTAATTGTAAAAATCGTCTTGATTCCTTGATAATTTCTTATGTGTTTATTAATAAACACACACACACACACACATATATATATATATATGTATATATATATATATATATATATATATATGTGTGTGTGTGTGTGTTAATAGTTTTGTCGGCGTTCATACATATTTTATTTTATAGCCCAATCGTCGAACAAAAAAAATGTTAAAATAGAGAAATTCTTTATTCTATTAAACGCTTCTACACTTCATGTGTGTCATCATTCAGTAATCAAACCAAAAACAAAAAAAAAATTAATAAACACGAACAACGTTGTAAGCTTGTGCAAAAGAACATCATAACTAATAATAACTAATAAAGAGAGAAAAACAATAAAAAACAGTTAGTTCCTATTACTAACTCGATACTATCCACTATCAGGTTTTTCTGTTACAAACAATTTTTATTAAATAACAATATTCCTGATAATGATTACAGAATATTAAAAAAATTATATTTAATGTAATTATTTTTCATAATACTCGTGCGTAATTTTGGGTGAATGACTTATACATTTTATTTTCCATGACCTCTATTTGCATTTTTATATTTCTACATTTCTACATGTTAATTATTTACATCAAGAATTATATTTGTAACTGTCAATTATTTCTGTATAACGCAATATGAATTTTCCTGATTAATTATATATGTTCGATTTATTATTATCAATGTTCTATTAGATACGATAAAATTGCTCCAGCGCGTGGCTTAATTAATCAGTGAAATAAATATTTAATCTGACTACATTGATAGTCGATAATGATTGTTATCATTTTGATAAACCGTTAGCTACTTGTTTAGATGTTTTATAATAACAAAAATATGATTATATTCCTGTCATTCGCATTTTGTCAATAAAATATCTAGTATATCTGGACATAAATTTAATCGAGACATATGACAGCTTACCATCAAAGAGCAGTTCGGCGAATGTAACTTTTTTCCCCCAAAATCACTTTAATTTCAACAGTTACAAATCGTTCAAAATTTGTATTTTTAATTTGAGCATTGCGAGATAACGATTTAAATACATTTTTTCTTCTATTCTAAATAAATGATTCTCAAAACATACACTCTAAGGCCCCCGTTTTCATGGGTCGAGCTCCCTCTCGTAGGGGCTTACTTTACTTATTTTCGAAAATAAACCAAAAATGTTGAAATAATATAAAAAATAAATGAATAAAGAATTAAATTTTGAACAATCGTATGATTTAAATACAACATTTTAAAATACTTCCTGTTATACTTCTTTAATAAGAATTGAGATACTATTTCCAATTGAACTATATTAAAATTTTAAAGAATCTTTCAGTACATTTAGTACATATAGTACATATTTGTACATTATTTAACACATTTTGTTCTAATTAATGCTTTAAACTAGTGGTGTATGGCATTGTGCCTTAAGGCAAATTGCTGGAACTTCCCGTACCGTAACGATATGATCGAGGAATATTAAATGTTTTCAAATATAATTAAGATTATTATAAATACTGCAACATTTTCTAATATTTATGAGAATTATATAAACTGAATTACAACGTTAAAATTATTTGTTTAAAGTATATAAGTGAGCTTTAGAATTTCATCCAGAATTAAAATTGAAATGTAAATTATTTTCGATATATAAAAAAATGCAAAAAAATAATCCAAAAACAATTGTTTTGCCAACACAAGTAGAATGTTATTTAGATCACTCAAATCGGATACTCCGTTCTCTCAAAACTCGGTTTCTATTTTCTGCACTCTTTGCTCCGTATCTCCGTAACGGCTGAACCTGCCTTTGCCAAAAACTAATCAGCACATCTCCCTATCAGTAGGAATCGATTGTTTTTTGAATTTTTCAAATCGGTTCATCCATACATCTGAAATCGTCGACGAAAAATTGTCTCCACACATACACATTCATTGTTTCTGAGGCATGCCAAAATGTTCAGAAAACTCTGAAACGTAAAAATATGCAAAAATTTTCATTTTAGATTTTTGGCCAAATACTATAACTTACCCTACGGGAAGATAATAAAATACTTATATTTTATTCAGGATTGAATTTAGTTTAGTACGTCTGCAATATATACTTATATTAACCAATGGAGTAAAATTTAGTAATAAAATTTTCAATTACCAAATATTTTTCATCCGATATCTTACAAGTGTAACTAACACTGTGATTGACGAATATAATCGTCATGGGCTCGATTCGGACGACACAAAACTGTGCATACCTACTGTTCAATGTTAGGGCCTGATTAATAGAGTTTTACAGTGTAGTATTTTGTCAACATTTTCTAGAGCCACATATTTTGAATTTTTGTATTTTTCCTAAATATATTTATATACAAAATCATATGTATTTTAAAGACTAGATTTTGACCGTTATCTTACTATTCTTTTTTCATTCTTTCCAATTGTTGCTAATTTCCCATTAGTTGGCAATATAAAACCAATAAATTTTATTACAAATTTTACTTACGTATTATGAAATTTTATTGACGTACGCGTCAAGACTGCGACATTGACTTCAATACCCTAATGAAGGCCGATGTGGTATTGAAGAATCCAGCTTTTAATAACGTTACATATTTCGACAGAACAATGCACAGTATTGAGTGTCTTGACGTCGAAATATATGGAACAAAATCAATGAATTTTATGGTAATTCGTTCTATTTATATTTTTTGCTTCTGTCAATAGAACAAATTATGTTTTATTGTATTAAGTTCACCTAGCAAGGTTATTTAGTCAGCGATAAAAAAATTCTAATACATACACACTTTCATGACACATGTGGTATTTCTCTCGCCGGTAAAAAATCCATTTTTAGTTTAAAACACGCCTTAAAAGATATTTCAGAACTTCATAATGATGATTTTAAGACACAAATAACGGTTTTCGTCCACATTTAAGCTCATTCTACCGAATTAATTTAAAAAAATCAAAAACTGTTCGAAAGATATTAGTTGGGAATAATACTGATTAGTTTTAGGTGAAAATCTACCGAGCCGTTTTCTTGTAATTAACTGTTAATTAAAAAAAATTAAGCCGATTTTTATGAAACTTTCTTTGGCGTAGTATATCATGGTCTTATAGAACTTACTAAAATATTACGGCCTTACGATAAGTAGTTTAGTTTTAAAAATTCATCAAAGTTTGAGAAAATGAGTAGTTTTGTTGACGTTTGTTAAAATTAAAATTAGATGATTTACTTGGTATAACGAAAGATTACTTAGTCGAACATACTAAACCGTTAAAGTCCTACGGAAAATGATTCAATTATAAAAATTATTGATTTGTGAAAATTTGCTTTTAGAAAATACTCCGAGTTAACGTGTTCGTTCGTTTTCAATTATGTATAATAAATCCACTCGGAATACTTCTAATCACTCATAAATTAATTTGTTTATTATTGATCAAGTCGATTATTTACACATATCGGGAAGTTCGTGTAACTTGCCTCAAGGCTAAATACCAATACCAACTAGTATTACTTATTTCTTTATGTGAACTTTTAGCAACATAAGAATTATCTATATAATGAAAGGGCAGTGGTTTTAATTTAATTTCAAATGTTCGATACTTCTTACTTTTGTGGATTTTTGCGGAAAAAAATGTCGCATTTTTGCATGTGTGGAATATTTATCTCGTCACGAAAATGACTTGCAAATTATTCAACTCTAGAATGGTTGCGCGTCATTTATTATTTTTCTGGCACGGATACAAATGAATTGTAATGAATGAAAATGATTCATTTTCGAGTAATATGTTCATTCATTTTGATTTGATTCAATATAAATCTGATTTTTATATTTCGTAATGCTTTATTATGTTTTATTATAATTTTGCAAAACATGACCAAAAGCAAAAATTACACTTCAGATACGGTACCATATCTGCGCAGTTAATTATTGTTGAATTACATATTAGCATCAATGATTAGTTTTTTCAATCATTTTATTAGAAACTCAGAATTTTTCTGTCATTCATTATTTTCATATTGTTTCGTTAACATATTTGTATTTGTATTACTTCTTGAAAAAGTATGCTACTTTCTAAACAATTTAGGCTAAGTTTCTAATGTTGACAAATGAATTTAAATTCAAAAGAAAATAGTTCAATTTATGATTGTTCTTTGTAATGTTGTAGTGTATAGTTCATTTCTAAATTTAATCTATATTGAGAATTTTGGCGGCATTTTGGGCGAATGGTAAAATCGCATGAATAAGGTACTAGAATAGACGTACTGTACTGTTTACACAAAGTAATAGTAATACTTAAGAATAAAATATTAAAATGCTAATAGAAATGTATACAAGTTAATATATTTGAAAATCATGGAATAGATTGGAAAATAATAGAATTTTATATATAAAGTTAGCATATGGTATAAATACACATAAAGAATAAAAGACAACAAATAGATCTAATCTTCAAAAATTATTATTGGCTCCTTAACGGAATTATCAACTTACAACAAATTACTTATATGTATAAGGCGGTGATTATACCCGTGTGTACCTACGGAATACAACTTTGGGGTACTGCTAAAAAGAGCAATTTTAACATAATACAACGAGCACACTGCACAAAACAAATTCCTGTGGCAAATATTAAACGCTTCTCACTACACGCCAACATGGATCCCCAACACGGGCATACCTACAATTCAAGAACATATATCATTGGTTGCTATTAATAATAAGAACAGAATTGACGTTCATTCTAACCAACTTGCAAGTCATTTATACCAGGAAGGCCAGCCGACCAGGACCAAAAGAAAAATACCTAATTTTAATATAGTTCATTTATTATAGTTCCGGATTTAATATAGTTCATTTATAGTTTTTTTTCTCCCCATTTGTCTTTAGTTTTTTTTATATTAGCTCTAGTAGGTACGCCACAGGGGGTATCTACTAATTTCTAGACAATTAATTGTAAACAACTTGCCAGCATTCTCTGCTAAATGTAATTATTTTTATAGATTGCAGAATAAAAATGAAATTAAAAAAATAGAATTTGATATAAGATATATTGTAAGTTGCTAAATTATAAAGGTCTAAAAATGATGAATTTTGAATTGGCTTATCTTAACTTCATATTTATATTGATTAAGATATTAAGTGGCCTAATACTTTCATTTGCAAAAGTTTTTCTAGTATTTGTTTTGCATCTTTCAGTGCATGGATTTATGTAACGGTAATTAGTTTGTGGATTCCTTGACACAAAGAAAAATAATCGACTTAATTTATAAATTATCATTTTCAAGTATTATATAAACAATTTCCATCTGATATAACTAATCTGTATCGTTTTCCTCTTTCAGGGTATTCCAAAATTTATCACTGTCCATCCAAAACTGCGAGATTCTTATTGAAGAAGAGAACCAACTCACGCTCCCATATAAGGAAGAGAGTTACTACTCATAGTAACATCGCGAAATTTGTTGAACATTGAGAAAAGAGAAAATCGGCGCTAAGTTTCGGGCGCCATGAAGCTAATTGAAGAGAAAACTGACCGCGTCCACGTCCTGAACCAGGCGTCGGTGGACACCTGGAGCGTGGCCAGAGAGATTGCGGCAGCTAGCACGGTAGCTGATGAAGAAGATGCATTTTATGTGTGTGATATCGGGGATATCGTTAAGAAGTATCAATTGTGGAAGGAGCATATGCCGAGAGTGCGACCATTTTATGGTGAGTTTCGAATTCTAGAGATAAGTTTATCCTCTCACAAGAATTGAAAGGATTTTAATGATACTATGTATGTTATAATTGATTTGCCAGTGCGTATTGATTTCTATGTTAAAGATTAGATAATCTCGATATTTATTTTCTTTTTATAAATAAGGTTTTTTGTGCTGGTTTCAATGTGTTTGTAGTCACTAAACTGTCAAAATTATATCAAAACTAGTGGTGCATGGCATCGGGCTTTAAGGAGGCGTCCATTAATCACGTGAGCGAGTTTTAAAGGATTTTTGGACCACCCCCCTCCCCCTTGGTGATACATGATGATATTAAAAATCACCCCGCCTTCCCCACCAAACATTACGCGTATTTTTAGTTAAACTGTACATTTTTTTCTTTTTCTTTTAAATGTTTGATTTTTTTTTAAAGAAATCAGTTAAAAAATAAATACACGTGATATCTTACTATACCCCTCCCTCCCCCACGTGATATTTCGTGATTTTTTGTCAAACCCCCCTCCCCCTAAAAACCACACGTGATTAATAGACGCCCCTTAAGACAAATTACTGAATCTTCCCGTACGGCAATTAAATGTTCGAGCAAAAAAAATTAATAATCAATAGGTAAATATTGATCAATGATTAATAACAATTGTTTTAAATATTTTCAAAGAGGCAATTATAACTTCTCGTAGGGCAAGTTATAGTCATCGCAAAAAAATCGAAAATGAAAATTTTTATATATCTTTACGTTTCAAAGGTTTCTGAATATTTTGGCATACCTTAGAAAAAACGGATGTATTGTGCGTTTTTTTTTGTATAGCGAAGGAAATGCCTTTATGCATCCCAGACTGGTGTTTTGTATGGGTATGTCGGACTCAATACCGCCCTAGTATAATACCGAATAAAACCTCCGCTTTGCCCTTTGGCTCTGGTCTCCACGGAAACCGCCGTTAGGCATTACTTCGTGGGGGGAGGATCTAGAATGTTATAATTCTTAACTTGATTTTATACTCATCTTTTAAATGGGCGAAGTCCCATTCGCCCTTTCTCTATGTGTATGTGTATGTATGTGTGTTTGTGTTTGTGTTTGTTTTTGTTTGTGCGGATATAGATTTTTGTCGACAATTTCGGGAACACCGATCAACCGATTTGAATAATTCAAAAAACATTCGATTCGTATTGATTAGGAGACGTGCTGATTAGTTTTTGGCGAAGGCAGGTCTAGCCTAAACTTTAAAAATTAAAAATCTTGTAACGGATCCAAAAAAATTATAACAAAATTAATACTCATGTTTTAAATCTCCATAAAATATCTTTAATGTTCATATGTCTAATGATCATTTTAGACCGTCAAATATCTTATTTTTTGCATTTTCCTCTGTATCTCCAAAATCATTAGACCTGCCTTCTTAATAATTTATTCAAATTTTCATTTTGTCAATACAAGTAAAATATTGTTTAAATCTTTCAAATCGATTGATCCATGCGCCCGAAATCGTGGACGAAAAATTCCAAACAGCCCATACACACACATTATGTGTGTGTGTATGGGTTGTTTGGAATTTTTCGTCTACGATTTCGGGCGCATGGATCTTAGAAAAAATGGATGTATGTGTGACACATACATCCATTTTTTCTAAGATATGCCAAAATGTTCAGAAACCTTTGAAACGTGAAGATATGCAAAAATGTTCATTTTCGAGCTTTTTTGCGATTATTATAACTTACTAGAAACTTAATAATATGCTAGTTCTAAATTTTTGATGCAGTCAACGACTGAAAACTAAACTCCAAATAGCACAAATGTCAAAGGAATATTAGTTTGACTTTACATATATTTTATTCGCAACCATTTTAAATGCTTTAATACCTTTGATTTTGAGGAACCTAATATTTTGTCTTTAGTGACATATGGGGTAAAACATGTCACCAGGAACAGCTATGTATTACACTAATAATAACAATTCGATCGAAAAGAGTGTATCCAAGAATTAGCTCACTAGTATTTTATTGGTATTGAAAAGATATAATGCAAGTTTATTATATAATAAATCAACTTGTAGTTTTATTATATAATGTATGCACATTGTTTAATTGCCTCTTCATGTCAATACATTTTTCTTATTGTGATATAACTAATACAAATAACATTTTCAGCCGTGAAATGCAATGACAGTCCGATTGTATTGGACGTACTGGCCGCACTCGGAACCGGGTTCGATTGTGCGTCCAAGGTTGAAATTAATAAGGTAATAATTAGAAATACTTAATATAATTAATATTCGAACGTTAATTTTTTTTCATAGTTTTGTTCATACATTTCGCTAATAGACGATCATTTTACAAACATTAAAGTAAAATCTCGTAACCATGGTGTGTAAAATTCTTGGTTGGCTTTATTGTTTTAGCCAAGAAAAGTCATTTTGTGCTAATAAGGATATAACCAATATAGGAAAGAATAAAATATTTAGATGCATTTTCCTACATACTATTTTTTGTGCAATTGTCTTATCAGCTAATTAAATTAATTACTTTTAGTTGTATAGATTAGAGATAATTTTAATAACTATATGCATATATATATATATATATATATAATATATATATATATATATATATATTTATATATGTATATATGATGATAGTTTTGTCCACGTTGATACATATTTGAAATATTTATTAAAAAATTAAATAATATTAAATAGATTTTTTTTTATTCCATTAAAAGTTTCGACGCTTGCTGTGTGTCATCATTCAGTAATCAAACCTGGAAAAAACAACAGAAAAAATTAGTTAAATAAAATTTATTGAACACTAAAATTGTGTAAAAGAATATAATAAACTCTGAGTTTCCATAATGCGATTGAACACATACAGTATAGGAGGGCAATATGCGCTCCTTTAATTCCTCGTTTATTAATATATTAGCATAATATTCTTTTACACAATTTTAGTGTTCAATAAATTTTTCATAACTAATTTTTCTGTTTTTCCTGGTTCGATTATTGAATGATGATAACACATATCAAGTGTCGAAACGTTTAATGGAATAAAAAAAATTCTATTTAATCTTTTTTAATTCGACGATTATTGGGCTGCAAAAAATATTTTAACGTTAGAAATTTTTCTGTTTTTTCTGGTTCGATTATTGAATGATGACAAGCATCAAGTGTCGAAACGTTTAATGGAATAAAAAAAATCTATTTAATCTTTTTTAATTCTACGATTGGGCTGCAAAAAATATTTCTCAAAGAAACTACTCATTAAAAGTCGTCCATAATTTATTTCATTGACTTATTTAAGAATTTTTCAACTATTGATGAACGCGCTGTTAGATTTGTTTCTTTTTAATATTATGCCTTGAATAATAATTGATATAAAGAATAGAATTGAAACTGCCAAACGGCTTGGATTAATAATTTTATTTTATTACTATTTATCTGTAGATTATTTTATGTTGTTGAATTTCGTTATTAGCTTATGTCGATAATTCACTGTGAAGATTATAAAATTGTAATATCCATTGTTGTTTATATAATATGGTTCCTCATTCATGCATTGTGTATTGGTTTATAAAATAATGCCTGCTAAACGTAGTCACATTTTGTACTGTAATATGTTGCATTCTCAAATGACCGAATTATTGAAAATATTAGACAATTCGTTATAGATTTCTTTTGTATCTGCTACACAATGTTAGTATATCATTTAAAAAAAGCGATTATATAAGATACTTTCCGAAACCTCACATCAATGTAGACTTTTTCATCTCATCATCACATCATTACTGAAAGAAGGCAAGTTTGCAGGAGCACGCGCTCGTATAGTTCGCGGTATCATCATACATTGCGTATCACTTGTCAAAATCCCATGTCAGATGCTGACGATCTAAATCTATCGAGAACTACTTCTAATTCGAATCGGGCGATCCCAGGTGCTGCCAATGGGTGTCAAACCAGAGGACATCGTGTTTGCAAACCCTTCCAAGCCGGCGAGTCACATCAGGCATGCTGCCTCGACGGGGGTGGCGAAGATGACCTTTGACAACGAATACGAACTTCATAAGATCAAGAGATTTTACCCAAATGCCAGGTGAGGACAGTAATGATAATAATCTATATTATAAGATAATCCGACTGTCTCTATTTTCGGGAAGAAATTTTCAATTATAAAATCATATAAGTAAAAAATAAATTCTTGAAGGACGAAAATACGTTCACCTCGGAATTCGAGATATCCAGCTGTAAGTCTGTAAATAAATAAATTGACAACCCAAAGTTGTCCCAAAACCCTTCATATTGTAGGGTGTCAATACCATATGTAGGTTTTGAGACATGTATCTCGAATTCCGAGATTCTTACCTAAATTAGGCTTAAATGACTGGACTTTGATATAAAATCTCCGAAGCCGGATCGGTTAAGAAATGACTGCACTTCATGGACTCACAATTTTATTGTTATATTTATATTTTATGGAAAATACAAAATTCTATTATTTTTAACTTCTCGTAGGGTAAGTTATTGTAATGGGCCGAAAATCGAAATTGAAAATTTTTGCATTTCTCGACGTTTTGAAGGTTTCTGAACATTTTGGCATACCTCAGAAAAAATGGATGTTTATGTGTGTATGTATGTATGGATACAAATTTCCAGTCACGCTTTCGGACGCACGGATCAACCGATTTGAATGGTTCCAAAAACATTCGGTTCATATTAATAGGGAAAAGAGCTGATTAGTTTTTGGAAAAGGCAGGTCTAGTCGTTACGGAGATACGGAGCAAAGAGTGCAGAAAATAGAAATCGAGTTTTTGAGAGAACGGAGTATACGATTTGAATGATCTAAAAAACATTCAATTAGTAGGCAGGCCCAGTCATTTCGAAGATACGGAGCTAAATGTGCAAAAAATGGCAGTTTTTGAGAGAACTAAGCGTCCGATTTAAATAATTCAAAGAACTTTTTGCTTGTCTCAACAAAATAATTGATTTTGGAAAAAAAAATTCAACTTTTTTTTAAATTTTTTTTTTCAAAAAATTTTTTTTTATATTAAAAATAATTCAGATTTTATTTTTAATTCTGACTATAGTTCTAATATACTTTAAACAAATAATTTCAACTTTGCAATTTAGTTTATATAATTCTTATAGATATTAGACAATGTTACAATGTTAATAATAATCTATTTGAAAACATTCAGTATTTCTCGAACATTTCGTTACGGTACGGAAAGTTCCAGCAATTTGCCTTAAGGCACGATGCCATACACCCCACTAGTTTAGTTATATACTCACTAAAAATCTAATTGTACATTCTTTAAAAATTATAACCGAAAATATATTGATATAATATTGATGTATTCGTGTATATTATATTACTTCACTCAATAAGTCTTTAAGTATAGCACGTAGATGATGTCGCTATGTAATCATCCATATGATTTGTAGGAAGCAACATTTTTAAGAAGATATCTATCAAAATTTCATGACAATCCGACGATCAGTTTACAAGTTATAGAGGTTCAAGTGACGCTACTTTTGAGTTTGTCGAAACCATGAATTCAAGGCAATTCGGTGCATTGTTTTATTATTGCTTTTTGATGGGTAAAAATACCATTGCTGCCAAAGTAAGTGTTATCTCGACTGTGGAGATGTGGTTTTCTGATTTTAATCATGGCCATGCAGGCACTGACGATGCTGAACGCTCTCGAAGGCAAATTGAGATGGTTACACTGAAAAATATAAAAAAAGTCTACCAAAACGTTTTGGAAAACCGAAATGTAAAATTGCCTGAGATAGTTGACACGCTAAAGATATCAATAGAATGTGTTGGACATATCGTTCATGAATATTTGAATAAGACAAATCTCTGTGCTAAATGAGTGCTGCGCGAACTCACATTTGACCAAAAGCATAATGAGGTGATGGTTCGTGAGAGTATTTAGAGTTATTTATTCGAAATAAAACTGAGTTTTTGCATCAATATGTCACCATGATATGACCTGGCTTCACCACTACACTCCGGAGTCAAATAGACAGTTAGCCGAGTGGACTAGACACAATGACGACAAAAAATGCAAACAAACAGGTGGCAAGATTATGGCGTCAGTTTTTTAGGATTCGCAAGTAATAATCTTCATCAACTATCTTGAGAAAGGCCAGACCATCAACAGTGACATTATTGTATAATGTTATTGGAACATTTGAAAATAAAAATCGAAAAAACGGCTCCTTTTGAAAAAGAAAACTGTGCTGCTTCACCAGGACAACGCACCAAGTCACAAATCCGTCACAATAGTGGCAAAAAAACATGATTTGGGCTCAGATTTGCTTCCCCACTCACTATATTCTCTAGATCTGTTTCCCAGCGACCATATCCTGTTCTCAGATTTCAAAAAGACGCTTACTCTGAAGAAATTTTTGCCAAATGATGAGATGATAGCCGTCTTTTGTGGCAAAGTACAAATTGGACCACAAAAATGGTTTCGAAAAGTTCGAAGTTTGCTACAATTGGTATATCATCTTCGAATAAAACTATATTGAATAAAAAAAATAATTTTGCCAGAAAATTGGGTTCTTCTTGTTAGTTATCCTACGGACTTATTGAATGAAATGATAGATGTTGTTTACTATTACTAGTACATACATATGAAGACTGATTCTGTTGAAATGAAACTTGGTTGAATGTTGCCGATATATTCACATTGGCGAATGTTGAAGCCAATGTTTTTTTACAAAGGAAAGACATTTTGGTATCTTAATATTTTTAATGTGTGTTTTGTTATTTTTTTAGATTGATTATTCGCATTCGTTGTGATTCTGAAATTGCCCAATGCCAGCTCGGAATGAAATTTGGCTGCGATGCATTCAATGAAGCCCCGCGGCTTATAGCCTGTGCTAAAGAACTTGGTTTGGAGGTAAGATTATATTCACATTTCCAGAAATTTTCTTAAATTTATAGTTCCAATCTAATTAATCAATTTACATTAAAATTTCCGTTAGTGATATTATATTAAGGGTGTGAATGTAGTCTCCATCTGCCCCTCCGTCCCTTTTCAATAAATGATTATTAAAAAAAATACATTTATTTTTTGAACGATATTAGTAGTTTATTTTGATTTGCATCATCTGCTAAAATAAAATTATTTCTATGACCGTTATTACAGTACTATTTATTTGCGCAGGTGTAGGTAGCTGTATTGAAATTATTAAGTAAATAAGATTATTTACAAAAAGTATTTGTATACACGTTTAGAAATCGTTTTTAATATGACTCAATAAATATATATTATGTATAATTTATAGAGTGGTAAAATAATTTTTGCTCCTTTATTGGTAAAGTAACTTTATAGTCTTATATAGAAACATAATGATATTATATTAATAATGAGTGTTTTGCCCAGGACCAGGAGGCTGAATATGAAAGGCTTCTTATATTTTTTCAGTAAAACATTGTATCATAGTTCATAATTTTTCATAGATCATAATTTATTTTTCTCAGGTTATCGGCGTAAGTTTCCACGTAGGTTCAGGCTGTGGAGAGCCTCCTGTGTTTAGGCGTGCTATTTCAGCAGCAAGAACCCTTTTTGATTATGCAAAAAATTTGGGATATCATTTCGATCTGCTGGACATTGGTGGTGGTTACCCTGGTAACTCAGGCACTTCTATCAATGCCGTAAGTTTTAGTAACATTTATTATTATAACTTATTCAAACGGGAGAAAATAAGTCAATGATTTAAATAATTTTTGGAAAAATAAAACTATTTTGAGTCTCCATCGTTACATTCGGTTGCATGTTGCAAAACTATTGCAAATGGTACAATTTTAAAATACAAAAATGATATTTTATTTAAATGGAAATAGAATTAATAAATCACATAAACTTTATTTTTTAATTATAATTCATTATTAAAATATCATAGATATTGAAAAGTACAATGGTCAGAAGATTTAGTATTTAGAAAGTCATTCTGTTTAATCCTACAATTTTACTGCCCGTTTTAGGACAGGTGTTAGAATTACTAAATAATAAAAAAATTGAAATATTGAAATAATATAAGATATATAATAGCAAAAATTTGATTCAATTCGATATTATTTTTTTATTAACTTCCCGAAGGAGAAGTTTATGTTTAATTTTGTTTTCCGTTTGTTATGTAAACGGATTATCATCTAACGTATTTTAATGAATGTGTTAAAATTTTATTGCTTCATTATGATAGATTAATCAAATATAAATTTGATTCATTCTGAACTTTGCCTTTTCATACAATGCATTGAATACTGTTTAGTCTTTATAATTAAATGTTTTAATCTATAACGATTTCAATAATTTATTGTTTTTATGTTGTCTTTATAACAATGTCCGAAAAGTATCACTCCACTCTTCTTTACTTATTGATAATGGAGCATTTACATTTCCTTATCATTAGCCAAACACTGACCCCAATATTTCAGAATGACGTTAATCCATTTATGATAAGATAGCATTTACAAAAATTCAAATAAATTTCTGAATCATCAAACCAATCGTGCAATAAAAAAAAAAATTCGACCATCTCATGATAATTTCTTATGATAAAATAATTCTAAGTGACTTCTAATTATTAGATTTATTTTCAGCCAAATTAATAAATATTAATCAGCAGTTTAGTTTGCAACATTGCTGAACAACTATTAAAGTATTTTTAATTTTCAGATTGCAGAGGTCGTTAACTGCGCCCTGAATGACTTTTTTCCTGATCCTGATGTCACCATAATTGCTGAACCAGGCCGTTATTTTGTTGCATCGGCATATACGCTCACATGCAATGTACATTCCAAGCGCGAAGTAAGTATTTATGGCTGCAATTTTAGATAAATTTAGTCCAATAAAAGAATATTTTCCAATAATATTCTATGCTTATTATGAACTATTTTGAATTTTTGTTGAACTGTCGTTACATTTCTCATTATTGGATGATTAGTTTAGGGGTTAGTTGCTTGTATAGAAGAATCTCTCAAGATATGATCGATTGTCGTTCATTTGTCTTTGTAACTGATAAAGAAAAAAAAAAATTTCGTAATAAAGATCTTAAATTGATTATGTTTACCGAGAGTCAAATACGTTGATTTCGGAAACAATTTCAACTTATATGAACTGATTTTAAAAATTAATTTTTTTTAACTTCCCGTAGGGTAAGTTATAGTAATCGCAAAAAAATTCGAAAATGGAAATTTGTATATATCTTTACGTTTCAAAGATTTTTGAACATTTTACATTTTGGCATACCTTAGAAAAAATTGATATATGAAAAATGTGTTTGTGTGTGTGTGTGTCTGCGGATACAAATTTTCGTCGACGATTTTGGGAATTATATTATGAATAAATAAATAGATAAATAAAACACCGATTGATTTTTGGCGAAGGCAAGTCTAGCCGTTCCTAATATACGGAGCAAAAAGTGCCAAAAACGGTAACTCCGTTTTCAAGAGAACGGAGCGTCCGATTTTAATAGTTCAAAAAACATTTTACTTGTATTGACAAGATGAACATTTGATTAAATTTTTAGGAAGGTAGGTTCAGCGTTTAGGGACTCTCAATAAAAATAAGTTAATAAAATGCCATTTGGCGCTCAAAAATGTTTTTTGGACATATGTACCTCAAATTATCAGATATTTTATAGAGATTTTAATAATGTGTACACATTTTGTATATTTTTTTTGGGTTCCATTCCAAGATTTTTAATTACGGTACGGGAAGTTCCAGCAATTTGCCTTGAGGCACGATGCCATGCGACCTACTAGTTTAACTAGAATTGAGAATGATGTTGAATGAATTTTTATAAATATTAGTGAAGAATAGTATATCTTTATTAAGAACAAATTATTACTATTTTAAGATTTCATACAAACGTTAATAATGAAATATTTTATTCTAATAATAAAAGCTAACTTTTAAAGACGATATTTCCATTATGATGTAAAAAAAACTTGCTGCGTTATGTTTTTTTATGTCAATTTTTTTTTTAAATTGTGCAATCTATCAATTTTTGCAAATTTTTCAACCACTTTTAATATGTATCACTATTATGTAGCTATTCACAAACACGTGCTTATCACATACGCGTTGTATATGTGGTCATTATTCCAATATTTAATTAATTTTTATAATTAAATATCATGAACTTTATCATTGGCCGATTTTCCCAAAAATTAATTACTTAGATTCACAACTGATACCTTTCAAATGCTTTTTAAACTTTCAAAATCGGTAATTCATTCAATCAGGATTCTTTACGAAAATGTTGACGAAAATTTTTGTGAACTTGCTTATTCGATGCTAATCAACGCGAGCCCTTATTAAGCTTTTTCAAATGGGTTTCTTTACGATGGGATCTTTACAATCAGGATTCTTTACGAAAATGTTGACAAAAATTTTTGTGAACTTGCTTATTCGATGCTAATCAACGCGAGCCCTTATTAAGCTTTTTCAAATGGGTTTTGAATTTTTGAAATGGGTACATCTCTTTTTGAGAAATCGTCGACGAAAGGTCAAATTTTACACACATAAATACACACTTTTTCCTATTCTGATGCCAAACGTTTCAGAATGACTTGAAATGTTAAGAAAACGACAAAACAAACCTCTTCTTCGGAAAGTTGAAAAAAATCTGTGTGGTGTCAAAATCATATAAATGGACACATGTTTATTTATCACATATTGCAGTTAAATGGCATGTGTGTTCAATTCTTTAAATAATAAATTAGACGTATCTGGTCGTATCAGTTTTTGACCCGTCAAGCTTTTTGTGTAAAATTAGATGCGTCACTAGAGATAGCGAAAGGTTATTGTAACTTATTCGCCTGCCTTCCATACAAATTTGTCTCTTGGTAACAAGATAAATTTGATACTTTGATGCTTTTAATGTACACTATGTACATAAATATGATTACTTAGATAAGATGAAAACGAATGCAATGATCAGTTTTAGCATCTCATTAAAATTAGCAATGATATGCAATGAAAATAAATGAAATAAAAAACTCGTGAATAAATAAATTAATTTCTTCAATTAGATAATTTTAATAGAGCCATTTGATTAGAACCACATTTATCAACACAGTTTAACCCCGACATCCAAGCAATTATTCCCATATACATGGAACATTTTAATGTTAGCATTTTTACTTTTTGAACATTAAAAATGAATTCACTATTTATTAATTTGATTATTGTTTTTCCTGACCATTCATGATATTGCGGAATTGAGATAGACATTGAACATTCTCATGCTCGAACTGTGGCAACTTTTAGGTGTGGTTTTTATTAACGTGACTATACGTTCCGGTTTGACCAGGACAGTCCCGGATTTCCACTTTGTGTCCCGGGTTATTCTATAAGCAATATTTGTCTCGGATTTGGATTTTTGTCCCGCATTGTCCCGGGTTTTCGAAAAGTATAGGTGACATTGAATTTTCGCTCTTATTTGATAATAAAATTACAACTACCTATCAAATATCTGAAAATGTTATGTACAACCAGTATGCTCATATGAAAATGACGGGTTAAAGTAGCCTCTCAAATTCATAATTTTGAACTTTTATTTTAAATTTTACGAAAATTAACAAAAATTATGAAAATTACTTTTTAAGTACTTGGAATACATAAGTGCTAATTATTTTTAAATAACTATGAAGGAAATTAAACAAAATTTTATAATAAGTTTGAAATCTGAAAAAACATAGATCCAAAATTATATGTATAAAATACAACATTTAATCAAATAATGAAGTTCTTAGTCAGTAATTCTGATTTAAATAGTTATGCATGCATTCTTAAATAGTATTTATTTTAAAATCATTTTAAATTTTTCAGCATTCTCACCCTATCATTACGAATGAAATGCTCTTAGAATCATTCCAATCGGATGCCCTATTTTCGCAAAAACCGAGTTTCCATTTTGTACACACTTTGTTTCTTATCTCGGAAACGGCTGGATCGACCTTTCCCAAAAACTAATCAGCACTAATCCCCATCAGTAGGAATCGATTAGTTTTTCAATCATTCAAGTCGGTTGAGCGGTACTCCAGAAAACGTGGACGAAAAATTGTATCCACACATACACACACGCACACACACATCCATTTTTTCTGAGGTATGCCAAAATGTTCAGAAACCTCTAAAACGTGAAGATATGCAAAAAATTTTATTTTCGATTTTTGGCCCATTACTATAACTTACCCTACGGGATGTTAATGATAATGCAAAACAATTTCTTGATAAATCGTAAAACTTGGGAACACTATTCCTAATCAATATTCACCAAGAATTGGTTACGATTAAGAATTTTTTAGGGGTTCGATTTATTTGAGTCAAATTGCAGCAAATAAATTTCACTCAAAATTAACCAGTTTTATTTTTACTTTCAGATTTTTGACCCAAAAGACGGATCATTGAAACATACAATGTATTATTTGAATGATGGTATCTACGGTTCCTTCAACTGCCTACTGTATGACCACCAACATGTTACTGCTATACCATTCAAGGTAATATTTAAAGAGCTAATAAACTCACACTCCCTTTATCTCAAGAACATACTTTATATCTTTAGCACCTGATTATATATAATTCTTTAATCATCTTGTTTAATAAGATTGTGTTTTATTAGGAGAATTATTCAGACAAGTTACTACCTTCATCTCTCTGGGGACCAACATGCGACGGTTTAGACCAAATTGCGGATGACATCCTTTTGCCTGATCTGAATATCGGAGATTGGGTCGGTTTCGGGGACATGGGGGCTTACACCTTACCAGTGGCTAGTCCTTTTAATGGTTTTCCCATTCCAAAAGTTTATATAGTCGCCAGCCACGAAACCTGGTACTTCTAGTTTGTATTAGTGATACTTTGCTAAAATATCTCTTCTATAATATTATTTGAAGTATTTTTTAAATAACTAATTGATCAATAATATTATGCATACGGACACTGTCAAAACTGATCTTTTTCTGCATTATCAGATATGCCAATAATGTATAAATACTTTCTTTTAATTTTTTAATATTTTAATATGGCAGCAGTCATATAAAGTTAATAATGCCAGAGATATTGATTTTTTTATGTAGCACAACAGTTTTATAATGTTATAAATATATGAAAAATACTGAGATTCATCTAGAAAATGGTAAAGATGTGTCAAATAGAACAGGGAACTGTGCATTAACTCATCTGTAATCCAATTTCAATAATCATCTGAAGAATTATATAATAATATTATCTGTATGTTTCAGGAAATTGTTAAAAGATTTACTACCTATGACTGAAGATCATTTTCAACATGGCACAGTACTCCATTCGATGAATGCTTATGAAGCTAAGCCAGCTATGGTCTCTCAACCAAGGTCTTTGGATACTATCACAAGAGACATTGCACTTAACATTCAAGTGCAAGTTTGATCACTGAACTATTAATAATTTTTAAAAAGTTTAATAAAAGCATTGATGGTAATATAGTTTTTCAATTGGTACGAATTATACAATTCTTTATGTATCAGAAGCATTTCGGGGAGTTAATTTATTTTTATCTTGGCGTTTGGCTGAGGTATTATTAATCTTCACATTTTTCAAAACAAACAAAATCATAGCAGGATATTTAATCTACAGAGTTGATGTCGAAATTTAAGGCACTATGCCATGCGTCACTAGTTATATTTGTTATATCGCTGATACACTTTGATGTATGTTTATTTATCTATGCATCAATGTATTAGTATTTGCTGTGATTTATTTTTTGCGAGTGTGATGATAATTGAACTTAAATGTTTCGACCGAATTTTAAGAAAATTTGGGTGGAATTAAATTGATTCGATAATAGTTTCAGTGAAAAATTCATTGCTTAGAGATATGAGTTTTGAGCCAGTAACAGTTTGCTAGAAAAATGTTAATTCAAAATGAAAGTATGAAAATAATTGTCGTAATAATGATTTTTCTACCATAGCAGTATTTTTCGCAATTTAAACAAACAATCAGCAGGCAAGGTTATGGTGACAAATTTTTGGGACTTGCAAGAAATGAACTTTATCAACTATCTTGAGAATGGCCAGGCCATCAACAGTTACTATTGTATAATGTTATTGGAACATTTGAAGATAAGTATTGGACTGTGAAGTTGAGTAGTCCAAGGATGTCAAATATCTTGGTGTGACCCTGGACCATAGACTCAGCTTCACAAAACATATTAATACAAAAATTGGACAGGCTTACGGGATGTTAAATCTACTGAGACCTCTCTTGAATCACAACAGCCCGCTGAGCGTGAAAAACAATCGGACACTTTACTTGACACTAATAAGACCGCTACTGACGTACGCTGCTCCAGCATGAAACGCGACGACTAAGACAAACTTACGGAAACTACAGACATTACAAAATAAGACACTACGAATAGTACTTAACAAAATAAGGGACCCACTGACTAGACATTACTACTCTTCAAAATACATACACACACTCTGACGTACCGACAATAATCGACTATATAAAAAAGCTCACTGAAAATTTTTATCTAAAATGTGGGGATCATCCTAATATTAACATTGCGGGCCTCGGCCAATACACTAGAGACTTGTTTTGGTATGGCAATCACGCCATGCCAAACTATATACTGATCGACCCATAGTGGCAATTGATACTTAAATGAGAATAAATCTTTTATTTTGTTTTTATTTTTATTTTTATAATTAACTATTATTATAAATATTGCTTCGTGTTTTTTTTTGAAGAAAAAGTTTTTTTTTCTCTTTTTTGCCACACGATTTGCCACACATCTCGCTGTATTCGCAATATTCACTGTATATATTAAGATCAATTATGTAATATAAAGTACCCAAGGGTAGAAAATATGTGTTAAATAACAATGCAAATGTATGATCAACTATTGGAATAAATACTTTTTGTCTGTCTGTCTGTCTGTTTAGTTACATTTAGTACTATGTATCGAGTTTTAACTCAACTTTTTGTTGGATTTCATTTTTCTCTTGCACAAGGATATCGTCATTATTATTAAGTTAACTTTTTATTAGATTATTTTAATATTATATTAATTGTACTAATTTCCCCACCACGTTCACTCTACCACCTCTTCCATTAATTTTACACTACCTAACTCAATGCTTACCTACGTTAAGAACTGATATTCTTATCTTGCTTACCTCACCAGGGCTCTAATCTGCTACCCCGTCCTCTCCAGTAACTCATACCTCCCAACGCGCTACGCCACGACGATCACATATGAAAACCGTTACAAAGTAGGTGATATTGTATATTTTAAACGGAAAAAACTAACAGGCGATATGACCAAAAAAAAGTTGGATTTGTATGGCCTGTGTTGGCGTAATTGGTAGAGTGATATCTTCGTACCCAAAGGGTACCGAGTTCGAATAATACCTCCAGCCATAAAACGGAATTCAGCAGTACGACTAACGTTGTGGTATTTATTTAATGTTAAATAACACAAAATTAATATTTAGATATAACAAACTAACAAGCCATGAGGCCGAAAAAAAGCAGAATCAATGTGGGGTGTGTTGGCGTAATTCGTAGAGTGATGGCTTCGTATCAAGAGGGTACCGAGTTCGAATAATACCTCCAGCCATAAAACGGAATTCAGCAGTACAACTAACGTTGTGTTATTTATTTAATGTTGAATAACACAAAGTTAATATTTAGATATAACAAACTAACAAGTCATGAGGCCGAAAAAAAGTAGAATCAATGTGGCGTGTGTTGGCGTAATTGGTAGAGTGATGGCTTTGTACCAAAAGGGTACCGAGTTCGAATAATACCTCCAGCCACAAAACGGAATTCAGCAGTAAGACTAACGTTGTGTTATTTATTTAATGTTGAATAATACAAAGTTAATATTTAGATATAACAAACTAACAAGTCATGAGGCCGAAAAAAAGCGGAATCAATGTGGCGTGTGTTGGCGTAGTTGGTAGAGTGATGGCTTCGTGCTAAAAGGGTACCGAGTTCGAATAATACCTCCGGCCATAAAACGGAATTCAGCAGTACGTCTAACGTTGTGTTATTTATATAATGTTGAATAACACAAATATTTAGATGTAACAAACTAACAAGTCATGAGGCCGAAAAAAAGCAGAATCAATGTGGCGTGTGTTGGCGTAATAGGTAGAGTGATGGCTTCGTACCAAAAGGGTACCGAGTTCGAATCATACCTCCAGCCATAAAACGGAATTCAGCAGTACGAAGGCCGAAAAAAAGCAGAATTAATGTGGCGTGTGCTTGGCGTACTTGGTAGAGTGATGGTTTCGTACTAAAAGGGTACCGAGTTCGAATAATACCTCCGGACATAAAACGCAGAACAGCGGGTATGTTGCTGAAGAGAGATACGCGCGAGAATCCCGTATCATCCTCGAACACGGGGAGGGTGGGTTACACGGGGTTGTGAGGTTTGCAAACCCGTGCTATAGGGGTGTGAAGGTTCCGCGCCCCCGGTTGAAAAACTGGGTGCATCACATGGAGGTCTCGGTGTGCGAGTCCCCGGAAGGGTTAACGGTTACATAGCAACGGTTACCATGGCAACGAAAATCGCAAAATAATTTTACAGAAAATTTTTGTTAAGGGTTGACGGTTACATAGCAACGGTTACCATGGCAACGAAAATTGCAAAATAATTTTACAGAAAATTTTGTGTTAAGGATTGACGGTTACATAGCAACGGTTACCATGGCAACGAAAATTGCAAAATAATTTTACAGAAAATTTTGTGTTAAGGGTTAACGGTTGGTTACATAGCAACGGTTACCATGGCAACGAAAATCGCAAAATAATTTTACAGAAAATTTTGTGTTAAGGGTTGACGGTTACATAGCAACGGTTACCATGGCAACGAAAATCGCAAAATAATTTTACAGAAAATTTTGTGTTAAGGGTTAACGGTTGGTTACATAGCAACGGTTACCATGGCAACGAAAATCGCAAAATAATTTTACAGAAAATTTTGTGTTAAGGGTTAACGGTTGGTTACATAGCAACGGTTACCATGGCAACGAAAATCGCAAAATAATTTTACAGAAAATTTTGTGTTAAGGGTTGACGGTTACATAGCAACGGTTACCATGGCAACGAAAATTGCAAAATAATTTTACAGAAAATTTTGTGTTAAGGATTGACGGTTACATAGCAACGGTTACCATGGCAACGAAAATCGCAAAATAATTTTACTGAAAATTTTGTGTTAAGGGTTAACGGTTGGTTACATAGCAACGGTTACCATGGCAACGAAAATCGCAAAATAATTTTACTGAAAATTTTGTGTTAAGGGTTAACGGTTACATAGCAACGGTTACCATGGCAACGAAAATCGCAAAATAATTTTACTGAAAATTTTGTGTTAAGGGTTAACGGTTACATAGCAACGGTTACTTAGCAACGGTTACCATGGCAACGAAAATTGCAAAATAATTTTACAGAAAATTTTGTGTTAAGGGTTAACGGTTGGTTACATAGCAACGGTTACCATGGCAACGAAAATCGCAAAATAATTTTACTGAAAATTTTGTGTTAAGGGTTAACGGTTACATAGCAACGGTTACCATGGCAACGAAAATCGCAAAATAATTTTACTGAAAATTTTGTGTTAAGGGTTAACGGTTACATAGCAACGGTTACTTAGCAACGGTTACCATAGCAACGAAAATTGCGAAATAATTTTACTGAAAATTTTGTGTTAAGGGTTAACGGTTACTTAGCAACGGTTACCATTCTCTATTCCTCCCTCTTCCACCCCTTCACCTGAGGCATCCAACGATGCTTCGGGGACTCGCACACCGAGACCTCCATGTGATGCCGGGTTCGATCCGTGCATGTTCCACGAGCGGAACTTTCACACCCCGGGTTCATAGCACGGGTTTGCTCCCGTGTTCGGGGATGATTCGAAGTTTATTAGGGGATGATACGGCATTCTCGCGCGTATCTCTCTTCAACAACATACCCGCTGTTTCGCGTTTTGTGTCCGGAGGTATTATTCGAACTCGGTACCCTTTTAGTACGAAACCATCACTCTACCAACTACGCCAGCACAAGCCACATTAATTCTGCTTTTTTTCGGCCCTCGTACTGCTGAATTCCGTTTTATGGCTGGAGGTATGATTCGAACTCGGTACCCTTTTGGTACGAAGCCATCACTCTACCTATTACGCCAACACACGCCGCATTGATTCTGCTTTTTTTCGGCCTCATGACTTGTTAGTTTGTTATATCTAAATATTAACTTTGTGTTATTCAACATTAAACAAATAACACAACGTTAGACGTACTGCTGAATTCCGTTTTATGGCTGGAGGTATTATTCGAACTCGGTACCCTTTTAGCACGAAGCCATCACTCTACCAACTACGCCAACACACGCCACATTGATTCCGCTTTTCTTCGGCCTCATGACTTATTAGTTTGTTATATCTAAATATTAACTTCGTATTATTC